AGTTCTAAAGGGTTCCTTAGCCTGCTGATACTTGAAATTACATCTTTGACTCTTGCTTCCTTCCCTCACAGCTTCTGAAGAAACCAAATCCTAATAGCATTTGACTTCTTTTCTTCAGCTTCCTTTCTGGAGTGGGGAAACTCCAGCCAAGACCTTGTATCTGTTAGGCAAGGGCATCCCAGTCTCCCTTCCCCTCTCAAGTCAGCCCCCCCACTTGTTTGCCACGCTGTTTCCTAAGCCTGTAGCCTCAGCTGCCTGGCCTCCCCACCCTGTGGTGATGCAGTTTAACCTGGTGCTGGTGGCCTTAGAAGAAACGGGTCCCGTGTTCAACCTTGGCTGTGCTTTTTGGGACTTGCCATTGGGGAGGGGGTTTCCAAACAAGAATGCTGTGTCCTTTACATCCCCTTGGGTGGCTCTGATCAGCCACTACCAGTGTGCCAGGGTCTGGTCTAGTTTGGAATGGTGCTGGGGGCTCACTGAGCTTATTTGCGCAGTTTCCTTAAATTTTAATGAGTGCCAATCAGCTGGGTTAAGGACAAATCTTTCTGACAACTGGTCTCACCTACTGGTGAACCCCGTGTACGCATACTATACAGTGTCCAAAGTAAGTCAGGCTGTCAGGGTCCACGGTTACTTCTTTCTGTGTTGAGAAATTTGGAGGAATGTTTCTTAACCTCGTTGTCCCAATGTATGTCTTTAAAAATGGTCATTAAAAAAAAAAATCACCTCGTGTATACACTACACCAGAGTGAGAGCTGTTACTGCTCTGCCACATGCAGGTCAGTCATTATCCTTACTCTGCTCTGCCATGCTCATCACTCCTTTGTTCTCGCCATCCCTTTCCTTTCCACTTCCCTGCTCAAATCTCAAAGCCATGTGAGATGGCTTTTTACATTGCTCCTCTCCACCCTTCTCCTCTGTACCCCACATCACTGTCTCTCATCGCTCTTCTGCATCCCACGTCTTTTTGGTAACTGTCATCTACACTTCTCTCCTCTGCAGATCCCCATCCACATCGCTCACCTTTGGCCGCTACTGTAACTACAGCTCTCTCCACATCTCTACACCCCTCCAATCTTTTCCAAGTCTCTGTATCTCTATTCACCTCATCTCTCCTATCGACATCATTCCTCTCCTTTCCACTTCTCTAACCTCCACGTCTCTCTAGCTCCTTTTCTCATCTCTCCTCTCAGTCTTCTCCACATCTTTCTGCCACATCTCTCTTCACCATCTCTTTCTCCTCTGCCCATGTCCCATTCAGTATTCTACACAACTTTGTACATCTCTATTCTCACATCTCTCCTTTCTCCTCTAGATCTAACCTGATACCTCCTGGTCACATCTCATCTGCTTCCCCACTCTCATCTTTCCTTTGCACATCTCCCCACTATCCTCTTTTCTCCTTTCCTCTTTGTATTCAGAATATGTGACCTCAACTATGACCTTTCAGATCTCTTCATCTCTTGACACTCCACACTTCTCATTTCTCCTCTACTCACCTCTGTGACCCACATGCTTCCACATCTCTCCAACTCCACTCTACATAGCTCTCTACATTTCCCCTCTTCTCTCTCTTGCATATCTTCAAAATTCATTTTTCTTCCATTCTTGCAGAGGCCAGTTGTAGATATCATGTAATCTCCTATCTCTCTATATTTATCTACTTTACTCTACTTCTTTCGTACATCTCCATATCTCTTCTCATATCTACATCTCCTCACTTTTCCTCCCCGTTATGAATTTCCTGCAGATTCCACATCAGCCTACACTTTTCACATATCTAAGCTCTCCTCCCCATCAATCTCTTGTCTCTACTTCTGTCTCTCATATCTCTATTCTTTCTATTTGTCTCTCCTCTATATCTCTATTGATCCCTCTGTTCCACCTCTCCATATCACTTTTATAATCCACATTTCTCTGGTACCTCCAAATCTCCATTAAGTATCTTAAATGCTTCTCTCCCATGGAGAGGGGAGAAGCCTGGATCTATAAACTCTCACCTCCACACCTTACCTGCCCAATTTCTTGTCTTCTCACATCTCTCTGCTTCTCCCCACATCTTTCCATATTTCTCCTAATTGTTCCTCTCTTCACAACTGTCCCCTCCATGTATCTCTTCTCTAGCCTCCTTTCCTCACTTCTCTCTACACCTTTCCTAATCCTCATCTCTCTTCTTCTCTGCACAAGTCCTCACTTGGTACTCTCCACATCTTTCTATACCTCTCATCTCTTCCCTCAACTTCTCTCTACAATTCTGCATATATCTTCATCCTTTCCTAAGGACATCACTCCTTAGCCGTCTTCACTCCACACTTTTTAATTTCTTCACTATGTCTTTCGTCACCTACACACCCCTCCATGGCACATGTCCCACTCCTTTTCTTATGCAGTATATCTAAGCTCAGCTGTGATTTTTCCACATCACTCACCTCTCATATCCACAAACTTCCTCTCCTCCCTACATTTCTCCATCTGTCTAGCTCTCTCCTCATCTTGCCTCTGCAGCTCACCCCTCCTCTCCATATTTCCATACCTCTCCGTATTTTTGTTCATTTCCCCTCTTCTATTTGTAGCATGTATTTCCTGCATATCCCACACCTCATCTCTTTCTCTTCTTCCCTGCTCTTATATTCTCCTTTCTCTCCACTCTTCTTTATCTCTTCTTCCTATCCCATCTCACTTTGATAATCTTACCTCTCCTTTCTTCTTCTCATCTGTTTCTCCTCTACTCTCTATCTCCCCACTCATGTCTCTCTTCTGTCTTCTCCTCTGTACCCCCATTTACCCAACACCACTCTTCTATTCTTTCTAGCTCTCCTACGTCTTTCTCCCCTCCTCTATAACTCCATGTTCACTTTTCTAACCTAGCTCCAGATAAAGTTCAGTGACCTCAAGGCCTTCATTGCTATGCATGTGGGAGTTCAGGGTGTATCACAGAGTTGGTTGGCAGGATGTGTGACAACTCAGAAATGTGAATGTGGCCAATGGACAGGAACCCAGTTTTAAGTCCAGGAGGCTCTGAAGCACTCACCCAGGTCTTCATTTCCATGGCCTGGTGCAGGAGGATTGTGGCGAGGGAGATGGTGTTGATGGGTGTTCCGAAGGTGAAAACGTCGATGTCAGAATCCTTGTAGGTCTGCAGAGGAGGAACAGACAGCATTGTCAGATGGGCTGTTTTTGACACTGATGATAAAGTAGCAGTCAAGGTAGCTGTCAAGGGAGCGTAAGGGGTGGGGCAAGGGGAAGCTCTTGAGCTGCCTGCTTTGTCACACTGACCCAGGGAGCAGACAGGATGAGGAATGAGTTGGCAGGGCAAAATAATTTAGAAACATGCTGACATTGTCAGAGGAAGCCACAGTGGGTTTTCCAAAACACTATAGAATAAAGAATTTTGAGCACCCACCAGGGATGACGCCAATTGTTAAACATCTGTGTCCACCTTCATGGAGTTTAGCATCTACTAGGTAAGGCCACAGTGGTACAGTTAAGAGGGGGAGAGTGTAACAGAGGCACTGGGAGTACAGAAGAGGGAGCAGATCAGTTGAGACTATAATCGGAAGCATCCCTCTCCTTAAGACAAGGGAAAGACAGAATTGAGCATGAAACCCCAGTGGTCCTGGATGGTAGATCTGTTGAGAGAGAGCAGGAGCAAGAGGCGAAGCTGATGAAACCTGACTGGGGAAGTCACTGGATGCTGAAAATGCCAGCCTCCTTGCCCTCACCTTGCTGCCCACTGCTGAACAGAAGCCCAGAGGCTGGATGGGCATACTATTCACCTAGTAGTAATGATCTCATCCTGGTTCTCGGTCAAGGAGAATGACAGATCTTTGCCATCTAAGTTTTCATTTCTTAAGCTGGCGAATCAAAGAGATGGGGCCAGTATCCTTTGCTATTTGCATATCTACTTTTACTTCAGATAATAGCCATTAGTATTAGAACTTGTCTTGATTTTGGAAGCACAAATCTAAATAAATCGATGTTCATAAATTGAAACACCTGCAGTGGCTAGGTAGGAAACAATAAATAATTGAAAGTGGCCAAGTAAAGACAAAAGAGGGTGGCAGGAACTCTGGCAAACTGTAGGTCACATGTCTGATCTAAGGAGGGCTGGAAGTCAACTCAGTTTTTGAGATCAAAGACAAGACCCTGTTAAATAAAAGATCTCACTTTTTTTTTTTAACCCAAAACCCAGCAGAAATAAAGATGGGTAAAACATTCTGACCTTTCAAATATCCTGGGTTGGATATAGGCTGCAGGTCACCTGCTTGGAGCTTCAGTTAGCATTTCATAAACGGGACCAGCTCCCTGGATGGCCACAGTGGGAGACATGCCACTTACCAGGTAAGGGATGAAGAAACAGACGAGGCTCTGGTAGAAGGCATCTGCCATGGAAATCCAGAAAGTAACCAGGTTGTAGCACTGCCAAGGAAGACCACAGCCACAGTTATCCCTGTCGAAGCAGCCTTGATTCCATGCCTGCCATGCACAGCTGGGCAGTTGAGCGTGCTGCTTACCATGCTGCTTGTCTTGAAGGCACTAGACTGATTCAGAGCATGGACTCTGGGGGGACAGACCACAGTCAAAGTCCCAGCTCTGATACTAACTGTGGGACCTTGTGAACCTGTACCTGAGAATGGTGGTTCTTCCATTAAAAAAAAAAAAAAAAAAAGGGAGGCCAAAAGGCAATTGTGCTTTGATACCTAGCAGGAGCTCAGTTATTACTCATTCTCACTCCTAGCACTAGGCTACTGCTGATACAAACTGGGTGGGTTCCGAGATTCTAAGGCTTCTAAGTGGCATGTGAAAGTGAGGGCTCAGTCAGTCTGGGAGGGGGTCATTTTGGGCTTCACTCTTCATCCCTTCTCTGGAAAAGGAAACCATCACAGCTTGTTTGGTTACATGAACTTCTCTGAAGGTTAATTCTTGGGTTCTGCAGTCCAGCCAACCAGCTGCCCAGGGTGGTGCCTTTCTTGTCTCCCCCGCCTGAATGCGGCTTGCTAGGTTGTCCTCTACTGTTGGGCTGGGGCTTGGGTCTTTGTGACTGCACCTGGATTTGTGCAGAGGTGCTTGCAGAATCCCCCTTGATATCCAGGGATCTGGCATGCCCACTGTGTGGCCTCTCTGCCTGTTGGGAATACCTCTGTGTGGCTTCTTAGTCAGTCAGAGACCAGAAAGTTCTAGACCTTATGTTATCTTGAATTCTAAATTTTGTCTTCTGGTGAGACAGAAGCATTGTTACGACTGAACAACCCAGTGATAAGGAGTCAAGCTTTTAGTTTCAGGGTTCCCAAACCAAGTCTTGGGATTTCTGTTGACGGCTTAAGAGTGGGGTGACTAAGGGGTATCCACACCCTCCTGTCCTAGGGGGAGTCCCACCTAGGTAGCATGACAAAATGACCAAATGGTCAAATACCCACTGGCCTGGCCAGTGACCAACAGACCAGGAACAGGCAGGAGAATTAGTGGGTCACACAGGAGGTAAACTGCGAAGGCCCCGGCCCTCTTACCTCGGAGTTCTGGCCACTCTTGTACAGCGCCGGCACCGCCAGCAGCGTTTCTGCAGACACGTCCTTATCAAGGATCCCAAAGAGAAGTGGAGGCAAGGAGGTGAAGAAGATATTGAAGAAGAGCATCTGCCAGTAGTCGATCATGGTGGAGCCAGAGAACCCACAGAAGAACTGGTACCAGAAGAGCAGGTTGACGTAGCACTGTGGGCACAAGGTGTGGCTGGTGAGGGCCCCGCAGGCGGCCAGTGTCCACTGTGGTTTGGGAGCTGTGATGAGCAGCCTGCACGGCCCAGTTTCCTCCTCCGCAGCACTCAGGCCCTTGTGAGGATGAGGTAGCTGATTGCTACAGGGCTGCGCTTACTAGGGCACTAGTGACCCCAGTACCCTCCTGCTCCCTCAGGCCCTGAAGCAAATGCTGCCAGCGTGGACAGTAACATCATCAGAGCACAGATTTTGGAGATGCCTGGTTTTGAATCTCCAAGTCAAGGCCTTTCTTAGCTGTGTGACCTTGAGTAAGTTCTTAACCTTTCTGAACATTTTGGCAATGTTGCGGTAGGAGTAGCAGTGTCTCGACTGCAGGACATGCTACATGAAAGGCAATAGTTACTAGGAGCGTACTAGGTCTCTGTAGTCGTTATTGCCATCAGAGCCCGAGAGCTCTCGAGGGCAGCAAGCCTGGTGGAAGCCAGCTTTAGGAGAAGGTCGCCCTCACCAGACTCCCTTAAGTCATACAACTCCGAAGCACAGGTAAGGAAATCCCCTGCTGAGCTGTTGCTTTGTTTTCTAGAACTCTTTCCAGCTCTCTGTCTTCCAGCTGAGAGGCCACACAGATGCTGTCTCCACCTTGTGAGGTGCTTTGGAGACTTGAAGGTGGCCACGGAGCTCGAGCCCACACCTTCTCAGTACTGTGTGGCTGAGCACAGAGGAAAAAGGATGGTCTAAGAAATCAAACAGTAGGTTTGCATTCGAGCTAGAATTCTCAAGTCCCCTAATTCTCTAATTGTCATTCCCTACTTGTGCGATGTGCCTCATAGCAGATCAGTATGTTAGTATCTATCACTTTATTAGATGTGTCCCATACATGGCAGTTGAACTAACAACTCTGCAAGATGACTATGAATGCTAATAATGTATTTGTTATTCTATTACTATACTGTATCATCTATGGAGAATGCTGTCCTCTCCAGGCAAGTCATCTGAGACTCCGTATACACAGGACTGGAATCCTGGAGAGGGTGCCCACTCTCGGATGGGGAGGGGAACAGTTCAGGGACCCCTGCTCCCTCCACAGCAGCGGTGAAGCTTCACAGAAGCCGAGTTAAAGCAATAAGGTGCCATGTGTGTGGATATCACTGGCCTCGTCTTGCATAGAGATGGCCTTACTGAACTGTATGTGATTAAGACTGATTTTTACTTAGGGTTGTGAGGGGGGAAAACTGGGAGGCCATAGAGGTTCATTTTCACTTTCTGTACCAATGCCACTGATAAGAAGTTCCTGGAGATTTTTGTGTGACCTTTCTAGAGACCTGCGTGAAAGGTGATCTGAGTTTGGAGGCGGACTCGAGTCTGGGCCTCTTGTGCTAGACCTGGCTCCTGCCCACGTCTCATGCCTGGTCCCTCTCACACCCCCTGCTCCTGCTCTCGCACCTCCTTGGGACCGCTCCCATCGCCTTTGTGCTTTTACTGCACTTCTCTGTGGACTCAGACCCAGCCTGTGCGGTGAGACTGCCTGAACGACTTCCTCTGCGCCCTGAGCTTGCAGCCTCTGCCTGCTCTGGAGGAAAGTGGCTCCCACACACCCACCCTTTGTCAGGTCCAGCTTCAGTGTAGCTCTCTTCCTGGCTGATGAGGGGGTGTCTCCAGGCCCTCTACCGCAAGCCCCCTCCTCTCCCTCTAGGGCCACGCCCCCTTCTCCCTAAACTAGTCATTTAGGCTCAGAGGCATCACCTGGCTGCCTCACTAAGACATTCTGGGTTACTGCAGCCTCCGAATCTGCATTTCCAATGAGCGCCTGGATGATGCTGATGCTGCCGGCACAGGAACACAGCCTGGGAAGCCACAGAGTCCAGAAGGCAACAAGCTGCACCGAGTCCTAGTGGACAAGGCCGCCTGCCTTCTGTGCCTACTGTCACAGCGAAGCTCAGGCTTGGTAGTCCTGACGCATTACCTCTGCCTTCACTGGCCAGCCTTGCTGAGCGAGCCCCAATGGAGGCTGGATACCTCGTCAGGGGAGAGGCCACGTCTGCCTAGCCAGCTCTGTATTGTACCCACTGCCCCACACGAGCGGGAGTGGTGGTGACTTGAATTAACAAGTCTCAGCAGCTCTGCTGTCCTAACACTCACCCTGGAGGTTTAATATTCAAGAGTGTTTCCTCTGTTCCCAGCCCCCACCCTGCTGCAACCTGGGAGCCAGCTCAGGGAATCCGCACAGTGGCCCTGCCCTTCCTCCTGAGCAGCTACAGTGCAGCAATTAATTCATTGTTCAAATTTCAGAGCAGGCTGGGTTTTAATCCCCTCTGAAATTGGTTTCGGATGTGGAAGTCGTTGTGCTCCACCCTCTAATTGCCATGGGGAGATAATGTGGCATCTGTATTGCCATTGAGAGCACTGCAGCGGGCTGGAAATAAATATCATTTAAGCTTTGAAAGCAGGGCCGGCTGGAAACATTTCCTTCTCTATTTTGCAAATTTAATGCAGAGAAGAGGTTGTGCTCATTCAAAAGAGCCATTCCTTTGGAGGCCAAAAGAAAAAAATACAACCCATGAAGCAGGGGGCATTTTGAATTCGAAGTAAATAGCCTTTCATGCTCTGAGTGACTTTCAAGTCAAATCCAGTGACTTGTCTGCAGAGACTTGCTGGATTAATTTTACCATCCAGTTTACTGCATTTACATGATTTTTTTTAGTCCTGCTGTTTATTTACATACACAATGAACTTTGCACAGAAAGGCTCACTCCTGAGCTAGGCTCTGACTGTGACCAGTGTCTAAAAGCAGGACTTAGGAACCAGAGTGAGTTGGAAAAAATAAAAAAGTAATGCTATTTGTCTGCTGTGTTTCTTTTCCATCAGCCTGCTATGCATTCTCCCATTTTTCTCATGCAAACAAGAAGTGGACTATTTGGAGATGCTTGAGGACTACTCAGAGGTCCTTGAATTAGATAATGAAAAATTTAGACCTTTGTTACCTCCCTTAGGGCAGGGAAAGTGTGACTCCTTATCCAATGTTATCAAGGGCTTTTCAGACATGTGCCTCTGATAGGCCTCAGTTGGTGTGTGTCTGCTTTGGGGCTCTTATCAACAAAATAGAATATACTTCTCAGAGAACACAATAATACCTTCACAATTGCTTGGCTGTGTACAGTGCTAAGTACTTTCTAGAGCTCTGACACTACAGCTCTTGATAATGCAGCCCTGTTCTCCCTATATTACTGATGAGGGACAGGCTCAGAGAGGTTATGTGACTGCTCTAAGATCACACAGCATGCTCTCTGGACTTCTTATTGGAAGATGGTATGCAGGAGAGAAGCCAGGGACTCGAGTCCCAAGGGATGGGCTGCAGCTTTTGCAAAGAGGTGATTTTATCTCAGAGGAAATCCAACATATAAGGCAAGCTAGTTCTGCAAGTGCTCCATCCTTAGTCAAAATAACAAGCTCATTTATGGTTCCCTCTCAGAAACAGCAGCAAATAATAGAGCTAACTTTGCAGTGTGATTACTCTGGGCACAATCTATGATCTAATCCGCAGCAAACAAGTGAGAAAGGGACTACTCATTGCTTTCCATTTTACTGCTGGTGAAACTACAGTCATGATCAACCACATCTAACTGCTCTATGCCAGCGTCTTTCCACACAGCATGGCCAGTCCTCACCCTCCACACAAGATAAGTAGCACCATTTTAGCAAAGAAGAATTTGAGGCCCAGAAAAGTGCATTCTCTTGCTAGGGTATGAGAATTCTCTTTTCCTAGCTTTCCTGCTGACATGCTCCCTCGGCCACGATTGGGGAGCTGGTCCCCCACCAGGCGTCCTGGGCTGGAGGGAGGTGACTGACACTACTCACCACATTCTTGTACAGGTAGTACACCACCATCCTGGCCAGGCGTGAGTAACACCAGTGGCCATGCACAAGCAGCAGCTTCTTGAGGTGTCGGAAGCGGGAGATGGCAAAATCACTGGACATGACGGCCTGAGGGGACGAGCAGAGATGTCAGCTCCCAGGCACAGCCACCAGAGCACCAGCAAGGCTCCCTGGGGAAGGTGTCAATTTAGGTCCCAACAGGAAGGGTCTGAAAGACTCTCCCCAGCATAATGTATCACCCTGAGGTGGCCCTTTTGCTCTCACATTCCAGGAAATCCAGACTGCACTAGAATTCAGAAGGGTAGGTTAGAAGTGATTCTTTTCTGGCTGGAACCTCCATCTCATTCCATTTATCCAGGGGCTGTTTTTATGGTCCCTTCTATGTGGCAGTGAAGGCTAGCCAGAGAGGAAGAGCCCCCATGCTAGCATTTCTGGCCCTTGGAACATCCCATGCCACCCCACCACACATACTCATCCCACACTGAGGTGCGGCCACTGGTTGGCTCGTTCACCCTTCACATGGAGCTGAAGGTGCCCTCTGCCTTTCGGGTGACTCGGAACCAGACACAGCTCCTCGTATTCTTTAAAGTATGTGAGGTTCAGACGTGCCTGATTATAAATCTGGTCTGAGTCCTGGTGAGGTGATTTCCCCCCTTTTAGCCTCCACTTCCTCATCTGAGGCTCACGGCATCTCTTCACATTCGTGGAGATCAGACACGTGAAATACAGAGAGGTGACCTGCTCTCAAAATGTAACATCTGGAACTACTTTGGACTTCTGAGTTCCCTGGTCCTCATCAGCTGTATGTAGGCCACATCTGGAGTCTCTACATGGATGGTGGGGAAGCCAAAGCTCAAGGTTCAAAACCACAAGGTGGAGTCTGTTTTTAACAGGACTTGTTCCAGTCAAGCTGCGTCTTGATGAAAATCAAGTACCCCAATTAGAATGGACCAAGCAACTAAGTGGGTCAAGCTAATCGTAGAGACTAAAATGGCAATTATAAAATGTTTCCAAGTGCGTGTAGACCTGTGATTGCTCAGGGAGCATGTGGAAACCTTGGAGGTGGGTGGAGGTCACAGGGGGATGGGTGTCAGAGGTCTCCCAGCTGCCTGTAAAAGGCTCAGCATCCTTTGACCTTCCTCCTTGTCTGGAGACTGGGGGTGGGGCAGAGGTAGTACAGACCAGGGGTGGCCCCTTTCCAGAGGACAGTGCTGCTACCCTCTTGGGACTTTCTCTTGCACAATGGGGGGGTTTCTTTCTAAAAAAAAAAAAAAAAAAAAAAAAACGGTCCAAGGGGAGTAAGGAAAAAACAAGAAGTGTTGTCAGGAACAATACCTGCATCCCTTCTTGTCCGGATATTCCAATCCCAATGTCGGCAGCCTGAATCATGCTCACATCATTTGCTCCATCACCTAAAAGAAGAGAGGGCAGAGGTGTCTTTAGTCCTGGTCCAGTTGCTGCATCACTACGAGTGAGCAGCGTCATCCCAGTGGCTGTAAATCATCCCCATTTAGACGTAATTGAATCTGTTCATGTTTTAAAGAGTTGTAGAGGGAAAAACCGCTGCTACTCTACTGTATTTGGCCTGAGAGGTCCGTTTTCTTGTTTTGGACTAAAAGCCCTCCTTTTGGTCATTTGACAAATATTGCCCTTTTTTTCTAGCCACAACGCAAAGCATTGGGGATGCAGGGGTGGGTGAGAGACGCGTGGCAGTACTTTACTGCTTACAGAGGACACCTTGGCAAGTCTCCCCGGGGACCTTAACAGTGAGCAAATGGAACATCTGAGCATGGCAGGGACTCTGCCGGGGTTATCCAGTGAGTAACAGGGCCTTGGAGAATTGGAACTCAGATCCTTCTGCTTCAGGAGGCAGTGTGGAGACAACTACACCGCTGGGACAGCCAATTCATCAGCTTGTCATGGTGTCCAGGACAGTGGTAGTTTCTTTCTAACATAGAAGCATGAGATCCACTCATGTTGCTGCTGGAGCTCCGCTCAGCCATACAGAATTCCCATTCAGTGAGCTGAGCTGACTCAGGAATGGGAGGTGGGAGCATGGGGAGACACACCCCCCCTTCTATACCAGAATCGGCAGACAGAGCTTTCTGTGATGGTGGTAGTGTTCTCTGTTGGTACTGCCAACCTGTGGCTGTTGAAAGGTGACTGGTGAAATCCTGTTTCACTGTAGTAAATGTAAGTCTACGCAGTCACCTCTGGGGGTTGGGCACACACAGGGCCATACAAGTCACTGCAGTGAGGCCTTCTCCAGGTCTGGCTTTTTTTCCCATAAACCCAGCTCTTCCCACTGCTTCTTTTTTTCAAACCAGGGTTTAGCAAATTCTTTCTGTAAAGGACCAGATAGTAAATATTTTAGGCCCTGTGGGCCAAAAAGCAAAATGAAAGAACTGTTCTTACTGAGAGGCAAGTAGTCTTATTTTATTTAGAAATATCAAACCCTTCTTAGCATACCTACAAAAATATTCGGGAAGCTAGAGTCAGGCCTCCCTGTTGGCCAGATTTGGGTCTCACCTTTTTTTCTTCATATTTTGCTATTAAATTTATATGAGACATTGCTGAGGATATGAAATTTGGGGACAGGATTTTCTTCCCTTAATTGTTTGGCAACACAGCTTATAGATCATAAAAATATTGTCATGACAACCACATGCAAAAAATGAAACTAGACCACCATCTCACACCATATATGAAAATCAACTCAAAATGGATACAAGACATGGATGTGAGATCTGAAACCATAAAATACATAGAAGGAAACATTAGCAAAACACTCCATGACAAATACCTCAGAAATCTTTGCAGATTTGTGTCAGCAGCAAGGAAAATAAAGGAGAATATGTTTAGCTGGGATTCCAGCTTTTACATGGCAACAGAGTAATTAAAATGAGAGAGCCACTGAATGGGAGAAGATATTTGCACACCATACATCTGACAAGGGACTGATTGAAGATCTACAAAGTGCTCATACAACTTAACAAAAAAGAAAAAAAAAAAAAAAGAACCCAATCCCAAAATGGGCAGAAGAGCTACACGGACACTTCTCCAAAGAAGACATGCAGACAGGCGGGCAAAAAAATGCTCATCATCTCTTAAAAGGGACATGCAAATCAAAACCAACTCACACCTTAAATGCCCCATCATTTAAACCAAACCAACATAAAAATGAGTGCTCGTGAAAATATGGAGAAAAGGAAGCCTCTTACACCGTTGGCGAGAGTGTAGCTGGTCCAGTACCTATGGAAAGCAACGCAGAGGTTCCTCAAAAGACTAACAATGGATCTTCTATATGATCCACAAGTCCACTCCTAGGTATTTGTCTGAAGAATACAAAGCACTGATTTGTAAGGAAACTTGCACTCCGGCAGCACTATTTACAATAGCCAAGATACGGAAACAACCTACGTGCCCCACAACAGATGAGAGGATCAATAAGATGCGGTATATACGCAGTGGAATACTACCAATATGATCAAAAAAGAAACTCATGCCATTTGAGGCAACATGGATGGAGCTAGAATAGAGGATATTAACTGAAATAATCCAGAAGGAGAAAGATAAATGCCAGGTGGTGTTATAGGATAGATAGATAGAGGAAAACAAAGTATCAGACAGAGATGAACTTTAAAACTAGTCCTTGAAAACTGACCATGGATCTGAGGCATCTAAGAGAGGAGGAGAGGGAAGGAGATGGGGGAGAATGAGAAGGCAGGGACTGTGGTGTGAGTGCTTTGGTGTCGGAACAGCTACAATGACCCCCCACACACACACACACACCAGGAGAGAAATTCTGTGCTCCAAAATAGTGACTAAAATGCAAAACAGTCGTGCTTTATCAAAAACATAATTGTCATGACAAGGAACCATTATAATTATAAGGAATGATTTTTTTGATAGCAGAGCAGTGCATTTTAATCTTCCCCATGGCTGAACACACACCAGGAACCTCTTCCGTTAGCCGGCCAGTGGCATGAGAGGTGGAGAATGGTGTTGTTTCCTACCCTGCTGGTCTTGCGCTTGCTCCTATGGGAGTGCAGCCAACTTCCCACCTCAGGGAGTTGGTTCTAGGCTGTTGCCTTCTGTGTCTACAGTTTTGAAGAGGACAAGTCAGACAATGAAAGTAGGGTGCCCCTGCTGAAAGGCCTGCTCCCAGCATCCTTTCTGTCCATCTTCTCCCATTGCTCTGAACTGCTTTCCTGAAGACCAAGAAGAAAGCTCTAGACTCTACTAGACCTCTTATTTGAAAGGCCAGGAATGTCTTTTCTCACATCTGTGTAGGAGGAAGAGGAAACATCTGTAAGACTGACCCTGCAGGAGAGGACTGTGTAGTATGTGTGTGGAATGTTCTCCTCATGGTCTGAGACAGTGAAAAAGGAAAATCTGAGTTTACATTCCTCTACCCAAGGAATTCAAGTCTGCTTGGCTGACCATTACAGAGAGCCTAGCCAAGTTTCAGCACGCCAGAGAAAAGGGCGGTCAAACAGGCCTGCAAGGAGAATTCTGCAGCAGGAGGAAGCTCCTGCCAGGCCTCGAGGAGGCTCACGCAGAATGGTAAGCAGGTTCCTGGGCTGCAGCATGGAGTGTGGGATGCTGGGAAGAGGAGGTGACTGAGGACTGACAAATGTGGCTGGAGGGTTACTGGAGACCCAGCTATGAAGCTTTGTACAAACCAGGTTTGGGGGTTCTAGAAGCTTTGAAGTAAGTTTACTTTTTCCTCTGCCTCCAACTGTTGAATTTAGTTTCTCAGGAGGAATTCTTCTCGAACCACCAAGCCCTCATCTGTTGAACTTACAACTTTGAGCTGCCCCTTGTATTTAGAAATGAGCATATATATTAAACAAAAAAAATGTTGGGACAGTCCCAAAAGAATATCAAAGCCACCACCTGGGCAGGTGGATAACCTTGACCCTGGGTTATGGATTGAAGGGGAAGTGGTCTGGCCCCAGCCCATTTCCTGGCACACTGGCCTAAGTGTCTATTGCTGAGCGACCTGGAGGTTCTCAGCTCAAGACCTGGTTGGCTTTGACCTCTATCAAGGTCTGAAATTCCCTAGTTGACCTGCTACCCTGAGGTCTTGGGTCCACTCTCCCACTCTGCTCATCAAGCAAACCATGGCTTCCTTGTCACCATGAGCTCTCCTTTCTACAGTAGTGACCCTCAGCCTGAGCTTGCTGACCTGGACTCCTGGTCCCTACCTCCTGTGCGGGCCAGCTCAGCCCTGCCTGTCTGGCCACCCCACCGCAGGACCCGTACCTATGGCAAGGGACAGGACGCCCAGCTTGTCTCGCACCAGCTTGACAATCATGCTTTTCTGGAGCGGGGTGCAGCGGCAGCACAGGACAGACCGGCAGAACTGAGTTAGCTCTAGAAACTTCCTCTCCAGTTGTCCCTGGAAAACGACATTCAATGTCTTCCCATCGATGACCAGGCCGATTTCTGGAACTGCAGCTCCAGAAGCAGGGGGCGGCGTTATCTTGGGAAGCAGGCGAAACCCAAGGAACTGGCGGGCTGGCTTCCGTGGTCCATAAAACTGCTTCACCTCTTCCAACGCACAATTGAGGATGGATTCACAGGTTTCCTGTAAGGAGTCAAAATCACACAGCTTTAGTCAGCTATGGGGGAGACCTATGTTAAAAAAACCACTTTACCTTTTAGTAAAATAGTTATATATGATGACCACCACAGAAATGACCTATGGATTTTTCTTTGATCTTTATATTGCTCTGACATATTTCAACCAGCACTAAGCAATGTTAATTTGGAAGTTGAGCCAGCAGGATGGGGCTGATGCAGGTGGTGCGGGACTAAGTATTGGACTTGGATAGATATAAACAGCCATCAGCACACCTCGCTCTATGGCACTTCCTATTCTTCACAAGTCATGTTGGTTCTCCTTTGTTGCTCAGAATATTCCTGTGCCATAGGGGAGGCTAGGGGTGGGGGTGCAGGGGGACTCAGGGTATTGCTGACTTTAGGTTAGAGATGAGGAAGTGGATTAAACAAGTACACTGGCTGTGTGCCTATAACTTGGCTTGGATATGGCAGTTGTACCAGTAGAAAGTGACCACAGATATGAAAGTCTCACTGATGTAAAGAAATTTACTTTTTTCTGACATTTATCTTGAAACAGATAAGTCTTCCAAGCAGGCCATTACACAAAACCTAGGCAAGCTTTACTTTAGTGCTCTCAGAGAAAAGGGAGGTATGACTGGGTTGGAGGAGAGAGTTATACAGGAGAAGGCAGCTTCTGCCAAGCCTGGAGTGAGAAAGACAAGGCTCGTGTGGAATGGTGGGCATCTTGTTGGTTAATCAGCCAGAGTTCCTAAGGGTTGGGCTACTTTCAACTCTGGAAAGCTGTCCATGACCCCCCAGATTGCCACCAGACCCACTAAACCTGTGACATAAGGCTTTCTTATTCCATTGTGGGGAAAATGGTGGGTGCATAGATATTAAGCCAGAGACTGGAGGAGTTAGTTCCTGTTATCAGTTCTCCTGTTTCTTTTGATGTCGTAACATATCTCCAGTCCCTATGTTGCTTCTCAAACACTACTTTCGATAGGGAAAAGTTGCAGCAGTCAACTGTATTAACAGTTTTAATAATGCTTGGTTCACATGATCTATATTGAACAGTGTTCTTTTATCCATGGAAGTGCTGATGATTTTTCTGTAGAGCTAAACATTACTCCAAGAGAAATGTTGATGTTCAAAGTGGGCTGATGTAAATGAAATCCTTACAAAACCAACTATGTGGATTTTGGCTCAATAGTGTGAAGGGCATTCTAAAATAATGGGCTTGGGAGTCACTGGTCTGTTTCTGAGAATGTGCATGCATTTCTCCTGGAGAGATTAAACTGAAGTTCACTACTATGGAGTCCTTTTTAGAAGGGCTGCTAAACTGAGGGTGGTGGGCAGTAGTGTGTGCACAGAGAGGCAGTGGTTCCAGAAGCAGGGGCGATACCCCATTTATCTGGGGAAAAGCTCTAGATGTTCCTTGCTGCTGGTTGGGGTTGACAAGTTACATCAATTCCTCCAACACATGTAAGCAGCAAGTCACTGCAGATGTGAGCAGCTAAATGAAACCTCTGCATTTGTTTATTTTAAAATGTCTATGGACTAATCACCAAAGTGACCACTCACATAAGGGTGTATGTCAGGGATGCTTCTAGGCAGCCTCTGACCTGGTCCTCAGTGCACCCTGCCTCCTGGAGGCCATACCCCTGTGTGACCTCTTTCCCAAGTGAGGGCTTGCCATCGTGACCTCGGATGAAGAGAATTCTACCGAAGGGCTGGGTCTAGCTTAGTGTATAAAAGGACTGGCTCCTGCTGGGTGCTCTCACTTGCTCTCTCAGGAGGTCTGTCCTTCTCTTAGAAGGAGACTAGTGTCATGTTGTCAAGCAGCTCCGTGAAGAGGCTACTAGACAAGAACTGCACCAACCGTTGCAGATCCGTCCCTGTCCCCCCAAGACCTGCCCCACTGAGCCCGAGACAGCCCGGCCCACAGTCCCGACACAGCTTGACGACGACCAGAGGGACACAGCTAAGTGCTGCCGAACCCGTTAGACCTGGCTACTGAAATCATAAAATTTGTGTTTTCAGCTGCTACATTTTGGGGACACTACTAACAACATAACTATGCAAGGAGTTTTCTTTGTGCTGTTATGAATCTTCCCAATGGCCTCTTAAATAAATCTTTTCAATCCCCGTTTTAATGATGAAGTTCAGAGGTATGATATCTGGATCATATTAAGCCTTTAATATATGTTGCTAATAATTATTATCTTAGTTGCTACTATAGTCTCTCCTTCCTTCTAAAAGTCTTGGACAGGTAAGTGACAGGTAATTCTCTCTTCTTATGGATGAGAACCCTGAGATCTAGATCGGTCTTGTAAGTTCCTTATAGTTTTAAAAACCACAACAATAAAACAGTAGCCTGTATCCATTTATAATGAATAAGGCAAAGTAAAACCCATGGAGGAAATGTCCACTGCATATGTAATCACAATCTATGGTTTAAATCAACCTGAGGTTTACAGTGGATTTCCCCATCTCTGGCCGAACATCTTTATGCACCCACCACTTTTCCCAGACAAAGGAATAAGAACGGCTAATCTCACAGGTTTAGTAGGGCAGGTAGCATGTTGGAGGGTCCTGACAGCTTTCTGGAGTTGAAAGTGCACACAGAGCGTGGCCTGCCCCTTAGGAACTTTGGCTGATTAATCACACAAACCTCTTCTGCTTCCCATGGGAATGCATTACAGGTCAAAGAACGAATGCATTACAGGTCAAAGAACCCCCTCTTGGTTGGCTGACTCACAGGTTTGCAATACCCGTGCAATACCTTCTGGAATTTACCTGCAGGGACGGCTCATTGCAAAGGCAACATTCACTGCACACGAGCAGGCAGGTGTCAACCCCATGACAGGGACCATGCACGCCAATAAGCTGCCAAGGACTGCCTTTCCTAAGCATAATATTACCTTCCAAGCTTTCCCTGAGATTATTTTCATTCTGAAAATTCATTGGGGTTCAATCTAATCAGAGCCTCATCTATGTACCTGCCAAGAAAGTAAATGACTTTTCTATTCATCAAAAGGGCCTTGGGCGCTAGGCATAGTAGACACTACTTAAAAAATTGTGCATGTGGATTCTCATAGAAACCACAATTAAACTTCCTAAATTTCTATTCTGGGTCCAGATCGGCCTCAGGCCAGACTGAAAGAGATTCAGCATTATCCCTGCTTCCTTTTCTGTGCTGTTCTTTATCTTTCCCATCTGTCCTCTTCTCCCCTTTCCCAGGGGAGGCTCTGGGTCTGCAGGTGCCCTTTCTCCTGCAATGTCCGTCTCCTGAGAACATAACTGCTTTCCTCATCAACACTGCATATCCAGCTCCTTCCTTCTTGGATGTTCCTTCACAGATCCACACTCCCCTATCAGAAGCATGCAGGGACTTTACTTGCTGCGGTTTGCATTGTGAAAATAGATTCTCCCTCCTAACTAGAAAATTCTGTTACTCCCTTGACTATGCTTCTTCAGACTTTTCCAGTTCTCTCTGCCAATCTCACTCCCTGATACTTACAACCTCTTTGGGCTGATGATGGCAGTGTTAGGACTTTGCTTCTTTCTTTCTGTCATCCCATCAAAATACACTGGTCTCACATGTCATACCCTCCAACCTTGAGCTGTGGCAAGCCCACTGGCCATCCAAGCTGGGGTGGAGATTTTAGATGCAGAAGAATTTTGATTTAATTGGGGCTTTTTCAAAGGTCGAGTCTATTCAAAATAGAAGAAACTAACAACTGGGGTTTCATTAGCCAACAGTGCAGTATCATGCAGAGGTCATGGGCTGGGCAGGAGAACAATGTTCTAGAATTAATTCTGCCCATGAGGAACCCTGGCAAATGACTTAGCCCCAGTGGGCTCATCTGTAAAGTGGGGTGACTGGGATGAAGGCAGTACTCAGGAAGCCTTTTGCTATCTCCTGCTGAAGTAATATAAGCAGAACAGGGAGCCGCTGTGGGGAGGAGAGGAGGAGTCTGGGGTGGATGACTTCTTGGGTTCCCTGAGTGCCAAGGTGCAATGATGCTGGGACCAGGTCTGCCTTCCCCACGTGTCCAGTCCCATCCACAGTCTGTGTCCTGTGGTCCTGGGGCTGCTGTGTACATGGGCATCTGGCCCTCCTTTGGCCTCACCTGGTTTTCTGTGTTAATGGAGTAAACTGTGTCAGTCTGATATAAGAGTCTGCAGGAATGGGCAATATTGACCGCGGTCTCCTGCTTATCCCCGGTCAAGACCCAGAGCTGGATTCCAGCCTCCCGCAGAGCAGCAATGGTGTCTGGGACGCCTTCCTGTAGCCGGTCTTCGATTCCAGTGGCTCCTGGAGTGGACAGAGACACCAGAGCTTGTGTTTACCTTGAAAGAAGTAGCAGCTTAATTTCCCCAAAGCCCTATCAGGCTAGGTAATATTAGCAAATGTCTCCCTGTTCTGGGCTGTGCTAGGCACCCAGGTCACAGTGGTGAACTAGGTAGAGCTGAGCCCACACTCTCAGCATTGTAAGGCTTAATTTTAACACAGCCCCAAAAGGGGAGAAGCCCAGGCGCCATGTAAGTGTAACAGGGAGACCCGAATGTCATCTGCAAGGTCAAGGTCCTGCAAGCTCAGACCTAGAAGATATGAAGGCAACAGAGGGCAATGGGAGAGAATTCCAGGTAGAGGGGCCAGCATGTGCAAGAGCCCAGAGGTCAAGTGGAAGACGATGATGTCAACAGGGAGGCAGAGTGGAGTGGCAGAGAGACCAGCAGGGGATGGAAGCTGCTGAATCCTGCAGTCTTGTCAGAGCATCAGTGGTCGGAATTGATCTGGTAGCAGAGACAGCCATTAAAGGACATGCGCTGGAGAGTGACAGGACTGAGTTTGAGGCAGATACTTCTACATAATGGTTTGGAGGGAGCCAGATGACATTCAGGGTTCATGGCTAGTTAGAGGCAGGGCTGTTGTGCGGAGGGGACCAGGCTGTGGCTGGGACGAGGTGTCATCTTGCCACCCAGAAACTGCCTTGCCATCCAAAGGCTGCCGGGTGTCCCTCCACCTCCAGCAATCTTTGTAGTATGTGTCCAGCGTGACCACCTGGGATGATGAAAGGAAATGACACGTCCTGCTCCTCCCATGGGTGCAGTGGGCAGCTGTCAGTCCTTGGTCTGAAGGGAAGCTCCATTTCAATGAAGATTTACTGTTGCTTGATCACTTAGCAACTATTTCCGTCTTGGGTTTAAATTTATTTATCCAGTTGGTACAAAGTTTGAGACAATTCAGAATATATGGAATATCACCAGAGGAAGTAAAAAGAACCCCTCTCTCCTGAGAGGTGCTGTTTCCTATTGCAGGCCCACATGGCTAGGGGAGTAACCCCAGGAAGAGTGACAGGAGATCCTCATCTCTCCCTCGACAGCAAGCCTGCAGGGTGAGACAGAAGCGGGCTTCTAGTACGGGGAGGCAGTGTGAAGGAGAGAGGAGGATAGATATTTCTCCGTGTGAAACAGAAAATGAAACAGAGATGGTGGACACATTTTCCAATTGGGTCCTGCAGTTATCACCCAAATCCCTGAGGGTGCCTCCTGTAATAAGAGACCCAGGGGGAGAGGAGGGTCTCAGGCTCCAGTGGGTGGCATTCAACCTTTGGTGGCCTGGTGTGGTGGGTGGCACTGACCACATATGACTGACCCTTTGGTACCTGTCAAAATGAGTTCTGTGGTCAGCTTTCAGAGGGCCTGTGAAGCAGTAGGCAGAGATCCCTGGAGGCAAAACCTAGGACACTTAAAGTGCCCTGGGTAGGGAGTAAGACTCTCCCACTGCTTATCTCCTACCCTACCAAACTTTGTTGCTCTTTTTATAGGTAAAGGTATTGCTGTTTGTACAGTTCCCATGCATTCTCTCCCCCATCACCACCTGGTTGGGTGCTTGGAAGAGTAGGATGTATTCAGAGGAGCTGAGGCTCAGAGAAACATGGAGACATGTCCTTGGGCACACAGCAAGGCCTCAACAGTGCCAAGACTTGGCCCTGGCCCAGGTCAGTACATTTTCCAACATCAAAAGGCTTTTGCAATAGCCAAGTTAGGGAAACAGCCTAAGTGACCAAAGGTTTAAGAGTGGATCTACACACAATGGAATACTACTCAACTATAAAAAAGGATGAACTCTTGACGTTTGCAATGATATGAGAACTTGAGAGGCTAATGCAAAGTGAAGTGAGTCAAGAGGAGAAAGATAAATACTGGATGTTCAAAGTTCTATGCAGCATATAGAAAAATCATCAAAGGTTAGTCAGAACCAAACCAATAATAAACTGTTAATACCTGACTGTAAAACTGTGTTAATCAGAAGGGAAGGGTAGTATGTGAGAGAGGAAGAGAGAAGGGGCCCAGTGGAACATGAGGATTGTTGGGGCACTGGTGGTGGGCAGGGTTTATACATGTACAGGGCAGCACCCATGCCGGGGATGGACTAGTGTCCATCAGCACATGTGCTGCTCGGCACACAGTGGGTTCCCAGTGGACACTCCAATGAATGAGGAGAGGCAACCAAACTTGGAAGCTTCACCCAGCAGGGAGTGCATGGATGCTCTGGGGAGCCTGCAGGAAGGTGTGTGCGCAGCATGGTTGGACTTTAGCACTGCTGGCTGTGCCAGCTGCCTGGAAAGGCACCCCAGGGAGGGCTCCTAATGGAGACAACTTTGTAAAGTGTCAGAATTCCTTTCTCACGCTCCATAGTCCTTTTTTCAAATTTGGCGGTGAGTGATTTTTTGCTACCGAGTAAGGTGAGCTGGTTCTCCAGATGCTGTGCTGTCTCCAGTAGAAGCTCATCTCGGTTGTCGAGGGACGCCTCGGCTTCACTCCGGAAGCTGGCCCATCGCTGGAAGTCCTCTTCACTTAGCACCTGCAGAACAGGATGGGTCTGGATTACAAGTCTGGATGGGTGGACAAGCAGAATCCTTCCTTCCCATGGATGGTGCTCCTTGAGGGTTTGAGCTTCACTACACAACTAGATGGGACTTTCTCCCTGATGAATTTTTTTTCTGAATATGCAGATCAATAAGGAATTGATCATGTTCTGTTATCACCAAGCATCCCTGGCACCCCATGATCCAACAGTTGTTCAGACAAGAGATCTCTGCACGCCTGGGACAGACGATGGGAGACACCTTGTCCTAGTAACTGATGTCAAAGTGCAAACCAGGGCCCTCCATGGTAGTGCAACAAGTTAGGACGCAGCACTGCAAGCTGGCCACAGTTGCTTCAGTGTGAGTTCGATCCCTGGCCCCAGAGGTAACTCACATGGTGCAGCACACCTCTCCTGTCTCACCCACTGCTCCCCTGAGCAGTGTACTTCATCTATCTGCCCTTTCTTTTCCCCCCTCTGTCTCTGGTGAATCCCTTCATCGCCCCTGCACCACTGGCCTGTACCCCAGTTTTGTATGCATAAATAAATAAATGTTAAAAAAAAGAATGGACCATATGGAGATCTAGAGCTCTTTGCCTACCTTCCTCACAGGGGGTTACAAAATCAAAAGAGCTGCAAGGTATTGACTGGGGAATTTGCATGACTATGTCTGAACCAAGGGCAAGGCATTGAGGAATGGTGAGACTGTGGCCAAATAACAGTATATCCCTCAGTAGAGAGATCAACTTCTACATGTTCCTAGCTATTTGCTGTCATTCAAGAATGGAGATTCAGATTTCTATATCCACTAAATTTACAAGAGAAGTCAGAAATACAGACTAAAAGAATTGAGACAAGATTGACATCACATTAATTTCAGGTATACAATATGATACAATGTGTGTACATATTTTAAAATATTCACCACAGTCTTATTTATTAACATCCATCACCACACACAGTTACAATGGCTTTTTCTTATGTCTACTTGAAGATTATTCCCTTAGTGATTTTTAAATATACAATATAGTATTAGATTACCCACAATTAGCATGCCACACATTACAGAAATGCTAGATTGACTGTCAAGTGATCTCATAAAGTATCACCAAATTTACATTTAGGCAAGTATGCAAATTTTAAAAGGAAACGATGGAGACAAAGTATAACATTAAGGAAGTATTTTATGAGTTAGGGGTTACCATTCATTCATACAGTAAAAAGCAGTAAACTCAAACTCACTGAAATGGAACTCCGCCATTCAGATAGTTGAAGTGCTGTCACTTAATTGTGACAAGTCAGAACAACTAATTTAGAAAACATTACAACATACATTAAGGGACTTGGAAAAAGAAAAGAAAGCATGAGGACTACACCTTCTGACAACTACATGGAGAGTGTGTGCCTACCTTCTTGGCAATGCACAGCGTGCGAAGACCTTCTCTTGCGTAAAAGTTGAGATGCTTCTGGGTCTGGGCTCGGATTTTCCTCACCTTCTTTTCCATATCAATGTCAATGGCTGTCAAACAGTCATTGTACCTCATGAGGTCATGTATATGTGCTCAGGGATCCCCGTTCTGAACATCTGAGACTCTTAGAGGAGAATCCCCTCACAACCCTCCCAGGAACATGGAGCCTTTCTTCAGGACCGACGTGTCCTGGAAAGTGACACCGTGGAACCCTTAAATTGTCTTCTCTATCTTATTACCCAACGTCCGTGTGAGAAAAGTATTACATCAGGAAAGCAGGTAGCGTTGCCAAGCACCTGTATGCAGCAGAAGCACATAGGAACTTAAATCGATACAGTGACTCCTGGGTCCAGTGGCAGGCCTGTGGATTTAGGGACCAGACAGACACCTGAATCATTTGTTGTTGTTATTACTGTTTTCTATGTGGTCAGCTTAGCCCTGATGACCAGCTGCTGAGACATTTTTTTTTTTAAGATTTATTTATGCATACAGAACTGGGGTACAGGCTAGAGGTGCAGGGGCAGTGAGGACTCATCAGAGACAGAGTGGGAATCAGAGCAGGCTGACTGACAAAGTACACTGCTGAGGGGAGCAGCGGGCGGGTCAGGGGAGGTTTGCCATGCCATGTGGGTCATCTCTGGGGCGGGGATTGAACTCATGTGGAAGTGGCTTTAGCTTCTCAGTGCTGTGCTTTAACCCACTGCACCACCAGGGAAGGGCCCATCTGCTGAGTCTTAGAAAAAGTATCCACCACTCTCTGTTATTTACTGCAGACCCTGTGTCAATTTAAGTCCCAAGGTGGCTCGGGACAGAGTCATATTGCTAAGTTTTTTTTTTTTTTTTCCCAACCATTTCACATTTGCTAAGTTAGACTTTCTTCTAGACAAGACTCAGAGAAAATTTTTTTTCCCATTTCCTCTAGTGTGAAAAGTATTAAATCGTGTTGCTCTAAGTCTCCTTCATGAAGTCCTACCTAATGCATTTTTACAAGAAATGTATCTTTTTCTCTTAAGATTTCTTTACTTTATCAGGCACAAAGGGTTTTTCAGCTTGGTTGGGTGGTGTGGGGCAGGTTTGAGGGTATCACCACTCCATTAGCTAAGACACACAGACATCACAATCAATAGCAGTACTTTATAAAGCTGACCTTGGAGAAAACTTCATAATCCTTCCTTCCCTAGGCTGGCTGAAATCTTTTTTTTTTTGCCCCTGGTAGTGAAAAGATATAGTGTACTTTGTCCGTCTCTCCATATCAAGAAATATTCTTGACAAAGGTAAATATGTGGCATTACAACAAAGCTCTGATTTCCCCCATGATAATATAAGGTGATTTCTTCACCAAAAAAAAAAAAAAAAAAACCAAGATGATTTTCTAATTTTTCTAAATGTTACTGGCACTTTAAACACAGTCTTTGTGCATTGCTGAATTGAGTACTAGCTACAATATTTTATTTTCAAAATCAGCAGCTCTGGTGATTAATTCCTTTGCTATCTGTGAGCCTTTGAGTTTACCTTTTTGCTCGGGCTACCAGGAACCTCAGGGGCAACTTAAGTGTTCAAACACTACAGATATATTAAACCTGGAGTTCTCCTCATCTCCCCACCCCAGCTTTGTCTTTCAATTTTTATATAGTAGTAATATTGTATATGTCTTTTATTAGCAATCTCTAATCCATTTTGGAGTTAGGTGAGAAGCAAATGAAGCTCTCTCCAGGGCAGCTGGTGGCTGTGGCCCAGGAGAGCATGCCCTGGCTCCCTGGACTCAAACACGATTCCACTTCTCTGCCAGAGTCTGGGATGAAAAGACCTAATTAACTCCCTTCCCATTTGAAACATTCATCAATCCCCATGAACCTCTTGGCTCTGGTCCATCGACAATAATGCGGAGGCACTGGGCTGCCTGGGCAATTCTCAAGCTTGGCTAGAATCTACTATCCTGGGAGCATCCTAACCCCCAAACTGTCTGCTCCTTGTTAGCAATCAGGTAACGGCTGCCCACTAATTCATGCTGCTCTGAAATTGGACAGTGATATGTAGGGATGCTGGAACATTTCTGTGGCTTGGCTCATGTTTATGGAAATGCATCTGGGGGAGGCTGGGGAAAAGGATGGTAAAGAGGTCCACCTGAGCTTCTCAGAGGGAGCCAAGCTTGGTGCAGAACCCTGATGCCTAGAAAGAGCTTAGACCTGTGGTTCAGGATCCCTGGGCTTGGATCATTACTTGTTAGCTGTGTCAACTCTTTTAAGTCACTTCCCCTGTGTTCAGTTCGCATAGTTCTATAGCAGCGCAGGACCAGGATGTGTCCTGGAGTATATTAGCAGATATCCTGGTTTAAACACGCCCCCCCCACCCCCCCGTGGTACAGCAGGTTAAAGCACAGCACTATAAGCAAGCCACAGCTGTTTCAGTGTGAGTTCAATCCCCGCCCCGGAGGTGACTCGACTCACATGGTGCAGCAGACCTCTCCTGTCTTGCCCGCTGCTCCCCTCAGCAGTGTACTTTGTCAGTCTGCCTGGTCTGCTCCCCATTCTGTCTCTGGTGAATCTTCTCACCTCCCCTGTGCCTGTGCCTCTGGCCTGTACCCCAGTTCTGTAGGAATTAACATATAATTTTTTTTTAATTTAAAAAGGCATATGTATCATCCAGATTTAAGTGAGTTTAGAAAACTGGAGACTGGGATGAGTGAAGTTAAACAGGTGTCTCTATTGAAGACTGGCCAAATCCAGGCCCAGGACATGGAGAAAGAAGAGTGTTTTAAGGAACCTGCCTTGAGGGAGCCATCTGTGGGTCTATTTTCCAGTGGGGTCTGCTGGAGTCCGTGGCACTCTAGTCAAACTCATCACCTACCGTTTCCACCACCCCTCACATCACAGAGCCCTCAGAGGTGGGACTCACCACGGGCTGGGTCTTCCAGCAGGTCCATGATAACCGAATCAGCACCCTTGGTGTAGACGAGGATCTCTCCCGTCAGCGGATGCCTCACCACCACTGACATTCTCTTCCGGACAGAGTCGAAACCCAGGGTGTAGAGGACCTCGAAGGTGAGGCAGGCGCCCTGGGGCAAGCGCACGGTCACCTGCTTGGGCGTCCGGGACGTCAGTGTGAAGCTGTAGGCACGGGCGGCGTGCACCAGGGCCGCCTCGTCGGGGCTCTCGGCCTCATAGCAGAGGTCTGGAAGCTCATCCCAGGTCACACTTGACTCCAAACCCTGGGTGTCGCTCTGGGCCCAGTTGCTGCTCTGATAGCTGCCATCTGAGGAGTAGCCTCCGCTGCAGGCAGACGTGTCACCTCTCTCCTCCACGCTGGCTCCCAGACTGTCCCCCAGGTCAGCATCAGAGGCAGAAGGTGTAGCAGAAGCAGATGAGAATGACTGGTTGAGGCTTGAAAGCTTCAACTTTTGGAAGAGCTGCTGGATCTTCTCCAGGGACTTTCCCATAGTCTTGGTTGAGGAGGGGACTGTGACCTTGGAGCCCAAGGGGAAAGTACATTACTCTGAAGTCAGAATGAACATCAAGCTGTCTTAAGGTAGAGCATGAGGATCATTTTTCCCTAAGTGAATTACCTCTACGTGCCTCAGTTTACTTATCTGTAACACGAGATAGTTAGGTCCTGACATTCGAGGGATTGGCTTCTGTGTTTTGATTTATCACTATGAGAACTCCTCCTGCTCACCAAGCCCCAAACCCTGACCACAGCTGGTCTGCTTTATCTCTGCACATAACATCTTTCATCCTATCCAAGTTCCCTGCAACTCTAGGGGTGTGAAATCACTCTCCAAATTTAAGGACAAGGAAACTGTGGCACAAAATGGTTAAACATATTGGTCATAATCACCCAAGAGTAGCTGGGACTCAGTCTAGGTCTGCCTGGTTCCAGTGATGACTCTGAGTGACCTACCAGCTAAACCCTCCTCATTAATCTGAAAATACTGAAGTAGACTGTCCAAAGTGGTATTTCTTCCTCTTCTGAACACACTGTTAGTTTCTCAGGTAATAATTCTGTCTCCCAAAACTACCTAAAGACTTCCAAATAACTTGAAGACCTTTTCCCTGGCTGCAGTAACATTTCAGGGTGTGACACAGGGGTTCTGGTTTGGTGGGTGAACCCTCTGGTTCTGGGTGAACCCTCTATTTCTTGGTTTTATAGTCATGCTTATAACACTCAACTAGAAGCTTGGGTAATAGTTTATAGATAATTAAAGCTAAATCTATCTGTAATGTTGAAAAATAATCCAAAATATAACTTTCTACAAATGGTCATCCAGTTGCATTATCTTCATATTGACAGAATTTCCCGCATGTCATGAGGTTTATTTATTTATTTTTAATCCTATGTAGCAGGAGAGACCAGCATATCATACTATGGTATGATGAAGATGGTTCTGCCACTTATCAACCCACAGCTTTTGCTAAGTCTCTCTAGCTTCTGAGCCACTGTTCCTTCCTTCTGCTTGTTGAGATCAAGGGCATACCTTATAGAATTTTTGGGCAATGAGGAGAGGAGTCAATGAAAACACAGGTGAAGTGTTGGCATGGAGCCTGGTACATAGCAAGTGGTTAATAAATATTAAGTCAACATCTATCCTATAGACAGATACAAAATTTGAAAATTATATAGAAAACTCATATACAACATTTTCCCTTTGAGTGAAAAATGAGGAACCAGGTACAGAAGATAAACAATGTGTCTAAGATGTCACAGTGATAGTTGGTGTCACTATGGTTTGGGCGCAAGTGTCCATTTCCTGTCCAGGGCTCCACCCCTGGCCTCTATCTCTTCTCCCATCCATCCCACGCCTGCTACTGTTAGTCCTTACCCTCTGCCGAGGCTCAGTGGTGGTGGAGACCATGACAGAGTTGCAGATGGTCAGGGCAAGGAAGAAGTCAGCAATAGTGGCAGCGATAGAGAGGTGAGTCTTGGCAGGTCTAGAATCTGACAGGGTTTCCAGCCACAAGGCAGCATCTTGCACCTTGCTCAGTAGGTTTCTGTCTGGAGTCACATCTTTTTCCTAGAAGAAAGGCGTGGGTAGCTGTCTTTGTTAAAGGGCTGGGTGGAAGGCCACCTGCATTGGATTCATGGCATGCCTGTGCAAGGATGATAGTGTCTTCCCCATCTTCTGGAATCTAGGACATCCCCCTCACAGATGTGGCCACTCGGAGGCCACTCCCTGCCCCTTGACCTGCATGTCCATCAGTTACCAGGTCCTGGTAGGGCTTCCCTTCCGCCATTGTCTCTCACTCCTGATGCATTAGGAATGAGATTTAGTGTCCTCACTCCTGGAATTCTGCAGGAGCCTCTTTTCTTCCTAACCTTTAATAGGTATTACCCTTGCGTGTTGCTGAGGATTAAATGAAATCCTTCAAAGTGCTTCACACTCATCTACCCCCAGGGGGTACACTTGAACTGGAGAAAGCTTCAGGAAGTAACAGTAGGCACCATCCATCCATCTACCACTTCTAGATTCTTCCTCCATGTGCACTTCCACTCTTTCTTCCTATCAAAAATCAGAAGTTACTCTTTGCTCAGTCTTCACTAACCTGGATGGCTACACCTCCCTCTTCCACGCCTCTGATCACACTTTGTTGGAAAAGTCCTCTACTGTTACCCAATTCTACCTAGACTTCAACTTGAACTTTCTCCAACCCATAGTCTGGCTTCTGAGCCACACTGGCAGGTCTCTGGAGTCAAGGTTGGCGAGAGGAATAAAGGCAGTGGCCAGGACACAGAGGAGGACATGGTGAGCTGGGGGTGACTGTGAGGCCTGGCAGGTCCTCCTCCATCTAGAAGGGGGACACTAGTGACATGCCATGCTAATGCCGTTTGTCATATCTTCTGACTTTTCAAGAGAAAGCAGTGATGATGTGCGAACTTGATTTTGTTTTTAATCTGTGGGTTAGATCTGACTCACAGGCTTCTTATTTTTCACACCTCTGTAGAATTAGCATTTGCACCTTCCCTTTGGAAGTCACTATATATTGGACTGATAATTAAAATTTAATTTTTAATAGTCAGTCATTTTTTTTAGAGTTAAGAGCCTCTGAGATAGTGTGTATTTTCCACACAGCAGTATCTTCTAGAGTTTCCATTGCTGCTTTGTTTGAAATGAAAATTCAACAAACTCCAGCTCTCTGGGTGTCACTTCCTTACTCTGCCCAAATGGACTTAAGAGCCACAGCAGAATGATATCCTAGAACCAGGAGTGAGCTCAGAGGTTAATGTGTCTGTGATTAGCTAAGGACCCTGAACAAAAGCTCCGCTGGCTCAATGCTGCAGCTTTACTGGACTCAACAGGGGGTGGAGAATCTATGGTGAATCTATCTGAGCTCACAAAGGAAAACTTCCTTCTCCCCCAGGACACTGGGGGAGCCATTTTCAGACACTTAGGATGCCTGTGGCTTATAGACACTAATGGTACAAGACATTAATGGTACAACACTTAGCATCTGGGCCTCTGGAAAATTCCCTAAATTCTTAGTTCAAATATTTAGGTAAAGAGCTACAGGAAGAGTATTCCTTTCAGAGTAGGTAGAACTGAATTAAAGAAGAGACTGGATGTCACACATGTCCTGTTGCTGTCTCATGTGGGAAAATCAAATAGTCAAAGAAACAAACCAAACATCTTAAAGGCATTCTTTTTGTATGCAGGTGAGGATCATATATACAAACACACTGTCATGTTGTGTTTCTGTGGCAGATGGTAACATAAGGGGGTTAACTACACCTGAAACTGGGTAACAACCCAGAACACACAGCTTCACAGACTCTGTTAGGGAAAACAGTTCTGGTTATGACACTAGGTAGCAAAGTGGAAGAGGGTTTTGGCACGTCTGATTAAAAACAAGTCCAACCTATAACTTGTTTGTATTGCGATGGCAAAGATGTTAAATAGATATGTATATGTATCAATAAGGGAAGTAAAAGACTAGAAGGAAATTCACACAACAGATCATTTTGAAAATAGAATTCTCCAGCAATGGGACAAAAGCACTTTAGGTCTGTCTCTTATTCATGAGAGCTGGGCATTTTCTGAAAGCATGGAAAATTCCAGAGGATATGATCTTGGGAGAAAGGCTTCATGCAGAGGAAAGTGAGCTGGGACATGGGTCAGAGGCCTGTTCTGGCCTTGACGTCCAGAGAAAGCTGTGTGATCTTGGGGCTGGGGCTCAACACCTTCTGATCCCTGAATGCTGAGTTAATGGTCCTGCGAGGTACCATGTGGAAAGCCCCAGAAGAAAGTTGTGAAGTAGAACATCACAGGGCAGCTGCTACCCTGAGGATGGCACTGGGCTGGGTAGTGCTGACAGAGATGTTCTCTGTGCCACTTAGGATCTGTTTTGTGACCACAAGAAAAATATATTCGCCCACCTTCTTGAAACACATTAACTGAGAAGGTCTATCTTTGATTTTCTGCTTTTCTGCCTTATAGAACCATGAGCATGAAAAACATGTCCTTTTCTTCTTAGTTTGGAACATCATGCAAACAGCCCATCTTGGCCCCAGCTCTGTAACAAAGTTAACAGAGTTGGGCCTTGGGACTTGAGGCCTGAAGACTGCATGTTCAGTGCAAAAAGCACCGCTCCTTTTGCAGTCTATCCTGGCCATGAGGAAACGCTGGCTTAAAGAGGAGAAGTGCTTCAATTTAATATTTGAAAGAGAAACCGAAAATGTATATGTTGATATAAAATCTCCCAATTTCAAGACAATGAACATTTGAAATAAGAATTGTATAATCCTGACAAAATTCACATGTGGATGACAAAGAAGGCCAAGGGCTGACAGCCATCTTGAAAACTCTTTGGGGTTTAAATAACCTTTTCTATCACACCCCCCAAAGCTCCCCACTGGAGGCCTCTTGCAGTTGAAAGGCAGGGACTTACTATGGAGCTGTTGAAGGCCAGAGGAGGTGCTGTGATTTCCCCGTGCCCCTCAGACCTTTGCCGGCAGTGGCCCTGGATGGGCACCCGGGCACTCTGGCACCGTCTCAGAGGCTGGGCTGCCCTCTGGCCTCTCATTGTCATTGGGCCCTGGGCACATCTGGCTGGGAAGGACAGGCTCTGGTACTGGGTCCACTCTTCACTGTTTGTCTCCGGGTCCATGGGGGTCTCTAGGCGCTTGGCTGCAAGAAAGGTTGCATGGTTACCATGGTAGTTATTCCTTGGCTGGGTCAGGGTAGGGGAGACCTTAGACTTTGGGGGTGGAGCCAGGAGTATGCAGGAAGAGCAGCATATGGCTTAGAAAATAGGTGACGGGGCCAGCTGACTGAAGAGAGGAGAGTGCTCCATCTCGCAAGTTTCGGTTCAAGCTATGCTACCTCCAAGCTCTGTGACTGAATGCTGATGACATTTGTGCCTCTATTTCCTTTATCAGGGCTATGTAAAAAGTACCCAACTCACAGACTTGTTTTGAACACATAATGGTGTATTACAGTGATCAGCATACTCCAGTATGCAACTATCATTATTCAAATAATAATATTGTAAGAGCAACTATCATTACTAAAAAGAGAAGCTTCCATGAAAATGGCTACTGACATGGTGAAGGAGACTGGGTTACCAAACACAGCTCCTTCTTTCTCTTTCTCTGTCCTTTCCATTCAAAAGAATGAACAGGCTCTCTTGAGAGTTTCTTCTCTTAGTTACAAAGTGTCTGTGTGTGCACATGTGTACCTGCTCACAGGTGTTGGGCAGGGCAGCTGAGGGAATCATGTCAACTTTATAGGCCTCCTTCAGTTCATGCTAATGATGGTCCAGGCCTTTTCCAGCCTGTCTCCTTACCCAAAGCTTTGTGTTAGTGCAAAGCCAAGAGCTCAGTTTGCATGGAAGGCCTCTTCTGCATGCATTGAATCTAACCATGCGCCTAGATCATGCCCATACTGAAATATCAGGTAAGGTGATCCAAGAAATTCTTTAACCTGGTTAATGACATAACTAGGGCATCCCAGTCCTCTTCTGATAAAGATCCTAGTGGCACTGGCACTGAAGACACAGGTGACTGTGGTCCTCATAGTGACCATATGAGTTTATGGCAGCAAGAATGGCGACATCTGTGTTGAGGTAGCCATGGGGGTCTCTGGGAGACAGGGTCATGACTTCTATCTATTAGCTTAGGAGATCTGGTTAATATTTTAGAAAGAAGGGCAACACCCCTCTGGGAGCCCTCGTACCATTTTCTTGGTGTGAATACTCTCTGCCCATGATGGTACAACACCGAAACACCATCTTGTTCTCGGTCAACGTGCCTGTTTTATCTGAGAAGATGTACTGGACTTGACCCAAGTCTTCGGTGATATTAAGGGCTCGACACTGAATGGATGAGTCATTCTCTTCATCGTACAGGTCAAGGTCGTTGTGCAGGAAGAAGATTTGTCCCAGCTTCACCAGCTCAATGGACACGTACAGGGAGATGGGGATTAATACCTAAAGGAAGATCAGTTTCCATGTCAGAAAGCAGCTGCTTGCCCTTGTTAGTGGGTAGCTGAGATGTTTCATGCCAACTGATATGGTGGGCTAGCTCTGTGAAATTAAAGATCAATGACTTCATGACTTTATGCTACCCCTGGAGTTCTTAGGGGAATCTGAAAGAGAGATACCTTCTTGAACCAGAGCTGTCTGGAATAAAGTAGGCACTCGCCTTGGGCTGTCTGATGATGGAGTGGGAAGGGGGTGAGGAGTACATTGCCTCTGCCCAGAGAACTCACCCTCTTGGATGTCTATGCCCCAAAGGGCTGCCACCTACTTTGTAGGTACTCAAGTTCACTGCTGATTACTGTCTACTTGGCTCAATACCCAATACCTATCATGTTCTTGCTGGGTGTCAGCTGCTATTCTAGTGCTGGAAATGGCAGTGAACAGAATCAAATCCCTGGTCTTGGAGACCTAACTAAAACACAGCAAGTGAATATATATCAGGTGGTGATGAAGTTTCAAGAAGAATAAAGAGGGTGGTGGGGAGATAGGATCCTTCAAAAACCAAGATAATTGAGCAGAAACCTGAAGAAATGAAGTGAGTTGTGAGGTAATCTTTGGAGGGAGAAGAATTATGGGGAAACCTTGGCAGTGGGAGAAGGTGGGAGGCATGTGGGCTAAGAGTAATCAAGCTTGGGTATGAATGAGCAGGAGGTGAGACCGGGGAGGCAACGAGCAGAACACTTGGCCACAGTCAGACCTTTGGATTTCACTTTGTAGGATCTGACTCACATTTAAAAATGATGGCATTAAGTGAATGAATTAGTTAATGATTGAAAAAGATTCACCAGAAAAGGGCAATGAATAACAGTCACATGCTGTAAGATATCAAATGTGGATGGGGCCCTCCTTGGTGGTGTAAGGGGTCAAAGATGCACTATGAGGCCATCTGCAGCCACTGCAGCATGAGTTGGATCCCCAGCCAGGGAGGTGACCCACATGGTACAGCAGGCCTCCCCTGTCTTGCCTGTTGTTCCCCTCAGAGTATATGTCAGTACACTTGCCTGTTCTGCTCCCCACTATGTCAGTAGTGAATCCTCTCATCACCTGCATCTCTGGTCTCTACCCCAACTCTTACATGCATCAATAAATGGATCTTGGTTTTTTTTTTTTTAAAGAAACCAAATGTGGATGGAATTTCATCACAACAAAAATACAACTTTCCTCATCTTTTCATGGGCTGTAATTTCTGCTAGAGGCCAATGATTTCACACTCCTCTCTTTATCCGTTCCTGACTTACAGCCTGTAGGTGGTTCTGTGTGTTTTTGCTTAGTTCTGCTTTTTCTCCATTTTAGCCTACCCAATGCTACAACAGTGATCTGTGGTCACTCTCTGTGCTACTTTATCTTCTTTTGTTCCCAGGCAATTAGTGTTTGACATGTTCTGTATTTGGCAAAGGGACACACATACTTGAACCACCACTGTAATCTCAGGTTTACGTAGCAGAGCCTGATACCTAGCTTTCTCTGTTATTATCTGGGGTCACGGGGTCTCCACAGGCAGGGCTGGTCCTGACATAACCCCAAATTTGAACACTTATAAACATCCACAAGTAAACAATGAACATTTCCCCTCTTTACCCAGTTAGCCCTTCTTGGGGTCAGCAGTGAATTGTCTATATTTCACAAAGTTATGAAACTGGCCGTAGGCCAGTTTCTTGATGTGTGGGTACACAGGAGTTTCCTACCTGGAGGAGGATGATCATCGTGAGGAACATGTAGAAGCCCCCAAGGGCCAGGGGAGGGAAGTTGCCATTGGCGTCTGGCACATCAAAGGGAGGGTGTTCACCAAAGGCCCCATTCCAGAGGCTGTGACCTGAGAGGAGGCAAAGGCAGGGTGAGGGAAAATCCCCACCTAGTCCTCCCACTGGTCACTTACATCAACCCTACATCTATTCCTGGAGATGAGTGCGTTTTATAGGGCCCGCCCTTCCATACAGTACAGCTCCCTTTGTGTGTGGTTTTTTTTAGCTTGATAGCAGTCCTTCATGTATCTCACATTTCAATCTCTTGATAGGCACTTATCTTTTCTACCAAAGGTGACTTGCATTTTGATGAATTCCCATACACAGACTTGGAAAGACAGAGAGCAATGCATGCTATTTTCAGCTGTATTGTGGAAAGTGTGTGGCTGGAGAATCTTAACAGACCTCCTGATCCCTCCTTCGCCGCTGCACATACCCACCCACCCCTCCACCCTCCCATTCACTCACCTGTTCATCCATCCACCCATTCACCTACTCATCTGTCCATCTATCTACCCACCATCTAGACCTCTGTTCATACCCTCCTCACTGCTTCTTTCCCTTTCTCCCTCTAGCCATTATTTATTAATTTGAAAGGGATTTGGTTCTAGTTCTTGTTCTTGAGGAGATTTCATACTAACATCGCTAGATGCATACTGAACTCTGATTCCTTGTCTTCTAACAAGGGTCACACCATCTCTCGTGAAGACTGATACGATGAGATGCATGAGCACTTGTGACACAGCCCTCTTACCTCAGGGTCCTCATCCCTCAGTAATCGTACCTCCTCCAGAGGGTTATCTGGAGACTAGGAAGATGAATGTATTTAAGGCTCCCAGCCCAAGGTGGGAAGTTCGGGGATTTAAAGCCACAGGGAATGCTGCTCTACTCCCAAGACACTTCTCTGCCCAGGAAGTTGGGTCAAATGCCATCATAGGAGGCAGAAGAAAGGAGATTTAGAGACATGGCTTTATTTGAAGGTAAGAGTGAAATACAAGGTGCCCAGTAAGTGCTGCTGCCTTGACAGGAGCCAGAGACGAAAGGAGAAGCCAGAGAAGGCTACATGGAGGAGGAGGCCCTGATGGATCCTATGTGCTACGTATTGGGTGGGCAGAATGCCTGATGAGGACCTTCTGGGCAAAGGAAAAAGAACCACATTTACTTAAACTTAACTCAATTCAGGATGCCTGAGAGCCATTAACCAGAGTAAGTTCACCTCTGACAGAGACTGTGCTTTAATTAGGCACCAGGGAAAACCTACTGCTGAGTAGGAAGCAGTCTTCTCTGGCAGAAAAGACTCTGGCTGTCTGTACACTACTTCGTGGTGTGACCTTTTTGCCGCGCCAGCACGACAGCAGAGATGGTCTGAGCGAAGGACGTCAGGATGAAAGCACACACTTCTTGGTCAGCAAGCAAAGGCACACCTTATTCTTCTCTCCTTCCCTATTTATCCCCTTCAGCCTGGAGCCTGGGGCTGGGGGTAGGCGGAAGCTCTCAGCAAGTGCATCAATAACATGCGACAATAACATGGGGGTCAAAGAACACAAGGTAGCAAACACAAGGCAGGAACACTTCCTGCCTTCTGTTTTTCTGTTCCAGCACCCATGGCTCATTCTTTGTTTCCACACAACAGTGTGCATATGATTCTGTGGGGGAGGTGGGGAGGTCTGTCCAGGCAAAGGACCCAACAGACCTCTTCTGGTGAACACCTACTGCTCTTAGGAATCAACTCTATTAGCAACTTCTTCATGGAAGTCTTCTTTCCTGATGCTCCCAGAATACTTGTAGAAGGCTGAAGAGCCCTGCTCTTGAGGTGAGACGGGTATCCTGAAATGGCCAGGTGGCTCACTTAAGTAATTATATAGTCCTTATAAAGAGAAGGCTGAGCAAGAGATACAGGCTTCCCCCACTATCTGAAAGCAGCACTCTCATTTGACATAGAGTCTGGGAATGCTATCATTTTTTTTGGGTCTGGGAACACTATTACCATTTATATGGAAGAAATTTTGCGCATTCCCAGACCTCCCAAATCATATCAAATAGGAGCCGCTTTCTTTTGAACAGCAAGAGAAAGCTGCAATGCAGCAAAGAGAGGGAAATGTGAGTGAGTTTGGGGATGGAAGAAGGAGCCACAAACTAACAAGTTGAAAAAGGAGAGGGGGATTCTCTCCTGTAGGAGCTAAGCCCTGCTCATATCTGGTCTGAATGCACTGAAATAGGTTTTGGAATTCTGGACTCCAGAGAACCATGGAATCTGTGTTAACTTTTCATAGCAGCAACGGGACACCCATGTAGTGCTTTGTGCAGTCATTGAGGGGGACAGATTGGACTATTGATTCTTTTCACATGTTGGACTTCTTCCTACTGGACTCAGAGCTTTTGAAGAACCAGACCTTTGATCGATTTATCTTGTCATCCTCTTGTACTAAGAGAGCTCTGGTCTTGCAAAATGTTTCTCGAACAAATAAATGATGGATGGCAAGTCTGGTATTTGACACTTTGGGGAAAGTTTCACATGCATCTGTATTTCATTGGAAGCCTGTTCAGTTACAAACTAGGCTTTATTTTTTATTCATTCTTTCTGGAAATGAGGAAACGGAAGCTCAGAGAGCTGAAGCAACTTGCCCACCAAGTGAGATTATAGCGGCGCTATTCTTTCTAGAATATTCCATACCAACAGCTCCCGTGAGGCACATGAGGAAGAGGAGCCCAATGCAGAAGAATATGTCCACGTTGATTTGCCTCTCGATCTTGCTGCGTTTGTATCGTGGGCCACTGTTGTTCAGCATGGCTTTTGTATCATGGCCTTTGAGAGAAAATGAGACAGTCAGTCCTCGGTCCTGTTTGCTCTGGCCTGGATCATTCCCTCAACTCATCTCACAGGGCTTACAATAAAATAGAGGCTTTATTTTCTAACCTGAATCTTCTGTCTCGGGATGGTTGCTGAGAAAGCTGGAGAGGCCTCACCCAAATTGTCAGCAGGTGTTCACTGAGTATTCCCCTACCTGCCGGACATGGCGGTGGGCATGGACAGAGCACCCACACAGGCTGCTCACTGCATAGCTCCAGAGGAAAACCTTGTTTTGTGGTTGTCACAGATTTGTATGTTTATTGTGACATGTTTCTGACAAATGACAGAAGGGCTTGTGGAAGGGCGATCTTTTGCTATTGATAGTTTGCACAGAGTCACTGTTATGGGTTAGCATTGAGTTACAATGACAGATGACTCACTTCTGGTAAAAATATCCAAAGAAATGAAAAATAATGAATTACAGCAATAAGTTTCACAAAACAAACAATAGATGGGGGCTAGAGCACAGAGGTGATGTTAGAGGACATGGTCAAGGAAGGCTTCTCAGAGGAGACATTTATATTATAGTATGTGCCAAGGTCCTGTGGCCGGATAGTGCTGGAAGTCAATAGCTTTTATATTTGCTTCTTTGCCTAACATGCTGGTGTTTGCATAAAAGAGTTGGGATCATGGGGCTTCCACTGCCCTGAGCACTGAGCAACTCCATTCCTATCGCTTCTGCATAAAAATTTGCTCAAAGAACGACAACAAAATTTGAAAACCAATCTCATCCAGTCTCCCCTTTTTCCAACTGGAGAAACTGAGGACCGAAGAGTAGAAGGGAACTGCTCAAAGCAAAAGGATAAGTTTACCCCATGGTCACACTGAGAACCCAGGATCTTCTGCAGCCAACACTGCAGTGGTCCCTACGCTGTGCTACTAAAAACTGGGCCAAATGGAGACTGTCTCTAGTCTAAGCTTGTCCTTTGGAGCTGCTAAGTTTTTTTTTTTTTTTTTTTAGATTTATTTATTTGTACATACAGAACTGGGGTTCAGGCCAGAGGCTCAGGGGCGGCGTGAGGCTTCACCAGAGACAGAGTGGGGAGCAGAAGAGGCAGATCGACGAAGTACACTGCTGAGGGGAGCAGTGGGTGGGTCAGGAGAGGTCTGCCACGCCATGTGGTCACCTCCGCGGCAGGCAGGAATCGAACTCATGCGGAAGCGGCTTTAGATTCTCAGTGCTGTGCTTTAACCTGCTGCGCCACCAGGGAGGGCCCGGGGCTGCTAAGTTTTACCAAAGTGTTGTGCTCCCAGCAATTAAATTAAAAACAAATACCAGTTGTACAGTTTCTATGCAAAATTAAAGAAAACCAAGATATCAGCTCCAACAGTGAAGGATTTTAACATTGCTTAGGTGATTGCCTCGTGGATTTAAAGTGGCAAAGGCTGAAGTGAGCAGACTCTAGGAATAGTAAATACACTCAAGTCACTGCCTTTGGGAGGGGTCATCGCAGGGGTCTTGCTTCCTCTGGAAAGCTCAAGTTGGCTCTTTTTTTTTGATCTTTGACTCTGAGGTGTTCTTATTTTGTCCATGTATATTATCAAGAGAGAATAAAATGCTCAGAAGACACTGGGCCATGTCTTGAGAAATGTTTGCATGTCCCACCTTGAGGAGGTGGGACTTACGGCATCTAGTGATAGAGTCTAGGGGCGCTGTTGAACATCCTACAGGACAGTCCGCCACAAGGAATGGTCTGGACCAACATGTCAATAGTGTCAAGCTTGAGAGTCCCTATGCCAGGTAATAATGGCGAGGAACTAGTAGTGCCACTTTGCCCAGGATTTTTGCAAGCCTAATACATGCCACACATTATGTTAATCTCATTTGAACCACAATCAATCCCACCTCACACCTGTGGGAAAGGCACAGAAAGAACAGAAGCAACAAATGTTGGTGAGGATATAGCCAAAAAGAGCTCTCAGACACTGCTGGTGGGAATGAGGACTGGCCCAGCCCCTATGGAAAACAGTATGGATGTTTCTCAAAATGTTAAAAAAAACATCTACAGAAGATCCAGCAATTCGAGTCCTAGGTACCAAAAGAATGAGAGACACTAATTAGATGGCACATACACATGCCTATGCTCTTCGCAGCATCTATTTACACTAGTCAATTTATGGAAATAATCTAAATGTCCAAGGACAGAGGAGTAGGTTAAGACGATGTGGTAGACGTACATCGTGGAACTGTATTCAACTATCAAAAAGGTGAAATCTTGCCATTTGTGACATCATGGATGGAACCAGGGGTATGATGCTAAGTGAAGTGAGAAAGAGAAAGAAATATGGATGGTGTTATTTATATGTGAAATACAGAGAAACACAACAAAGGTCAGATAAAACTAAACCAAAACAAGCCCTTGGGCCTACCCTGGTGGCACAGCGGGTTAAAGCACAACATTGAGAAGCTAAAGCCACTTCAGCATGAGTTCAATCCCCACCCCAGAGGTGACCCACATGGTGCGGCAGACCTCTCCTGACCTGCCTGATGCTCCCCTCAGCAGTGTACTTTGTCAGCCTGTTCTGCTCCCCACTCTGTCTCTGGTGAAGCCTCTCACTGCCCCTACATCTCTGGCCTGTACCCCAGTTCTATATGTATAAATAAATAAATCTTAAAACACACACACACACATACACACACACGCAAAACAAGCCCTATAAATCTGTGGAATTGCAGGTAGCAAAGGGGAAGTGGGGAGAAAATGCGGAGAGGCCCAATGGACTGTGGAGGATGACTGTGGGTGCCTCTGGCGGTGGGTGTGGTGTGGTGACGTGCCTCTGAAGGGGCATGTTATCCCTCAGAACCATAGCCAACATTACATTAAAAAAATACAATTAAAAAAAAAGGTAAAATCAGAGTGGAAAGCAGAGATAGGTAGCCAAAACCCATACAAAAGTAGTACGAAAAACCTAACTGCAAGAGCCAGTTCCTAGACTTCAGAGCAAAAATCTACAGAGCTGTTACTAATGGATAGGGGGTTGTGGGCCTTTGCTCCTCAGGACTGCTCTGTAGGGCCACAAGCCCCATCTTCTTGCCATTGCACAGATGCAGGCATTAAGGAATATTGTTTACAAAAATAAGCCGTCAACTGTTTCCTCAGGCTCAGAAAGACATTCTTCAGCCTACCTTTGATTGCTGCTGCCAAACCATCAGAGGTGCATGCACGTAGGCCCTGCCCCTGGTCTGTTCAGGTGAGTGATCTTAACCCAAATCTACTGTTGCCCCTGGATGGAGAGTTTCTGTGACCTCATCTCTCTGAGAAGTGGGAAGCTGTGTGGCTCTGCCCTTTAGGACTCTTGTGAGTTCCCACAGGCTGCAGCTGGAATTGAAGGAGTGAGGAGGAAGAAAGAAGACAAAGGAGCTGTACAGGGACAATGACCTGCATAGATGACAATGCCCACAGCCACCTCGGTGTTTCTGATGGTGCAGCCTCGAAGCAGAAGGCTCTCACTGCCCAAGCCGGTCCTGGTCTGGTCAGGATGCTCCCTAGGGAGGAGGAGAGACAGGCAGGGTTTAGGGGCCTCCCTGTATTGTCCTTGGCTAGCATCACAGGAGAGAACACCACCCCTTTCCTCCCTCCTTTTCAGAAGAGACAAAGCTACATGGAATCTCATCTCCACAGACAAGGGCAACAGTGTTGGTCCTGGGAGGCCTGGCTGGGGCTGGACACTGGTCTGCAATGATCCAGCTCTAAGAGTGTGTCATTGACTCTCCTGCACCGCAGAACCCTGCTGAAAAGGCTTACGTTAGCTCTCAGTGTCCACAGGTTCCTTTCAGCTGGCTGCTGGGTCAGGGACACACAGGCTGAGGTGTTGAGTGCTTGGACACCCCTGGGCAGTCCTGCCTGCCTCTCTCACCAAGAGCTGAGCCCCATTCCTGCACCTCCTCTCTTGCTCTGTCTCTCCTTAACAGCATCACAGTGGACAGTGACCCTCTATGCAGTGGACTGGAGCAGCCTCTCAAGTAGAGACAGAGGTGGGTCAGGTCTAACCTGAGGAGGCACTGTCATGCCGCCCCTTGTATGGAAAACTGACTCCAACCACCACCACCTATTACCCCAAGTCTGCCCCTTAGTCATCCTGATGCCTGTCCTTTGGGACTTTCAGGAAGTCTCACTCCCCCACCTGCCAACATTGGGAACAGGAGAAAACAATCATCTGAATGTCTTAGGGCTTTTCTTCTAGTTATTCAGTATTTCTACCCTCTGGTTATGTTTTTCATGTATTAACTCAATCCAATTCATGACAAGTTTATCATTTTATATTACCATACCCATGTTACAGATGGGGAAACTGAGGCAAGTCCCTAGTGCTAGTCAGTGGCTGAATGGAGATCCAAGCCCAGCAAGTCTGACTCCAGAGTATTTGACCCCATACATTGCCTTTAATAATGGCTATTCCTCACTGTGTTTTTAAATCACATTTACTTGCATTACTTTATTTGGTGCTTCAGAGTTCTGAGAAGTTAGCAGGATGATTAACCTTAGTCAAGCAAAGGAAGCTGAGACATGCTGAGAGAGCTCTGAGGTCACATGCCTAGTATATGGGACATGCTAGAGCCAGGAACCCAGGCCGCATGGGGTTTTTACTACACCAGGCTTCTCAGAGCCATGCCCTGCAAACACGCCGAAGGACAAATTTCCCTTCGCAGGTCTTCTAATCTGACAAGGAGATGCTCTGGTTAAACCATAGCTATCCGTGAGCAACCTTACTTTCAACACAGGGGAGAATCTGGCAAGCAATGGCCTGTAGTTAAAATATGAGGACGGCTTGGATTCGTTTTCTTCATTTCACCATTTCCATTTCTATAGGGCAGGTGATATGTTTCTCATTGGCCCAGGGATAGGAATTTTCTTTTTGAAGTCAATTAAGAAAAAAGTAACTAAAGTTTAGGCATTGATGTTTCTTGAATCTAACATAAATCTTAAAAATGGTCCCCTAATCGGTGAAGTTTGGGATATACCTTTTTATCATGTGGGGGCTGGCTGCGGGGAGAATATTGAGCTGGAATCTTGAGTGATTCATTGCCACTAGCTAGTGGCATAAAACCATTTTTATGATTCTCTGAGGTGATAACATAAAATAGCAGCTTCTACTTCTGCTGTCATAAAGTTCCTTTTTTCAGTGGGTAGTAGAAAAGGATTAGCTAGCTAGGATGCTGTCCTCTTCTTGTTTACAAGGATGCTTTATTTAACTGACCCTGGAGGGGCATTTCTCAACCTGACACTTGATATCTGGGCTAGGATCATTCTTTGTCTTGAGGCAGCCTTGTGCATTCTGGAAAGTTTTTTTTTTTTTTTTTTAACAAATGTTCCTTTTCTAGTGGACCTGTTCCTCTTCTAGTAACCAGACAAGTCCTAAATTCAGGGTACCCATAAAGGCGAGCCCCGCCATGAGGCTGCTCTAGCTGAGGGAGGACAACTGGCTGCAGGAGCGATAAGCCAAATTTGGTGATGAACCAAATCCACACACTCTGGACGCCAGGCCTGGAGTCATCGCCAGCAAGGTGGCAAGCTCTGCCTTGCCAGATGCCAGAAAGAAACCGTTTCTCCGGAACTTCTGTCCTCCTCTGCCTGCCAGTCCGGCTGAGCCGGTGCTCTTGTGCATTTCAGAGGTAATACGCCTTCAAAAGCTGCTTTTGCTTTGTTGCTTTGCAATGCTCACTTGCCCAGTTCGCAGTCTCTCCCTTGATCATGCTCTTCCTGAGATTCTGTGCGTGGAGGGAAAGCAGGTCCACCTTCCTCCCAAGAGGGCTTTGCACACCTCACTCCAGTGCTATGAGTCTGCCCGAAAAGCCACCCTGACTTAGCTGAGCTGTGTGTCTGTGACTGTGCTCCAGTCAAAGCCAGGAGCTCGCAAGTTAAGTCCTGGAGCTGCCCAGCGTCTCTGGGGGATCTACATGGAGACACTGGGCGTCATCCTATTCACTGCCCTGGGTAGCTGTGAAGATGAAACGAGATGATGTCCGTGAAAGTCCTCTGAGTGTGTCAGGAGTGCCTGGTGAGGGTGCTATTCACAGCTGTTACCTGTTCTTTTTGGTCTAATTTTGACTTATGTGGAAACAGGTTTATAGGGAAATTCTCAGACTGAACCAAGGTTGAGGAATAATAGTTATTACTACCTGGTACATATTTCTGCCAGCCCATTGGAGTTTTCTTATTAATACACAGACATTAGTGGGAAAGAAAGATATCTGGCAAGCAACTGGATGTGGAGATCTGTAGTGCAAAAGACAAAGACTTATTCTCGTGGAGACCAGTCTTAGAAGTAGATGTGACTGCTAGGAGAGAACGCAGCGAAAAAGGAGGCAAAGAGGAAAATGGAAAGGAAAAGTTAGGTTTGAGCAAAAAAGAGAAATCACTAAGATATGGGCAGAAAAATAGTAATAATTATATCAGCTGTCACCACTAACAAAGGATTTATCTGTGCCAGTTGCTACACGAAGGGCTTTGCATATGATAAACAAATTATTCCTAGGAAAGGAAAATTTTATGAAGTAGATATCAAACTCATCATTTCATAGAAATAGGCACCAAGGCTCAGAAGGTTAATTAATTTACCCAAGGTCACACAGCTTTTAAGTGGTTTCAAAACCAGGTCTGCCAAACTCCAAAATCCCTGTTCTTATCTACAATGCAATACAGGTTCTTTTAGAAAACCGATCTTAATTAAATCATACTTGCCTTCCCTGAATAAGAGTGTGGTTCTGACTTTGATTTTATTTTACCAGAGTTCTATATATAATCCATCAGTGAATTTTAACCCTGAAAGTTAATTAAGGGCCACATCAACTTAAAAAAAAAAAAAGGAATAGGAAAGTTTATCTAGCCTTGGGTGATAAAAAGAAATAAAATTCCTTAGGACCTGGCTGTCCTTTTCAAGAAAAACTATTCTCTTAGCTGCAGAGACTGTATTTACCAGCATCACAGGACATCAGATACTTACATGTATCCTTTAAATTTGTTGAGGTGGTTGTTGGGTTTCTCACACACGATGGTATTGCAGAAGTGTTCCGGCTGGAACTGTCCGTTCTGTGAGAGAGAGGACAGGGAGTTTAAATCAGAGGGAGCTGTTCTGATAGGATCATGGGGAACATTAATTACTGTTAGGACCACTGCAAATTTGGTAATCCCTGCTTTGCATATTGTGATGGTTGCAATGCTGTCCAAAGGGAAAAAAAAAAAAAGCTTCATTAAGGAGGAAAAAAATGTCCATGCAAATGAGAAGTTGGATGCAGGGTGGAGGGGGGTCTGTCTTAACAGCATTTCTCTGGCAGACCTGGTGGGAGTCTACGGACTGGTGCTGCCCACTGAGCCACGCCCAATGTGGTCTGTCCAATAAGGAAACCATGAATTGTGCATGGCTACTGAAATGTGGTGGAAGGACTCCAACCTGATTTAAAAGTTGTATTCATTTTCATTGAACTTACGTAAATTTAGTTAAGCTACTTTTAACTCAGATAAATTAGCTTTTAGTAAACTGAAGGAGCTATATGTGGCTAGTGGCTACCATATTGGGCTGCACAGAAATAGATGATCACAGAAGAAGGGATTATGCAGTTAACATTCTTGTGTAAATGATATTTCCAGCTTTAAATAAATAGACACATATGCATGTGGTTTTATATGTCTATACTTCTATATAAATGCCTTTCCAACCTGAGACTTTGTGTTCATCTACTTGAACATTTTTTCACTTACTTAAATTCCTCCACTTCTTCATTAACACCAGGACAGAAACCTGCTGCATGAACACCACCAGAGTTCCTGGAATCATTTCACTATTGAACATTGACACTGTTTCCATTATGTTTTGCTCTTGTAAACATGCTGTGAAAATAGTCTCTAATAAAACAAATACATAGCATTTACTGGATTTTTCTTTCTGCTAGGCATTGTAACGAGAACTTTATATGTATTATTTACACACAAGCTCACAATTAATTCATGAAACCGGAGCTTCCCACTTATCGTCCTCTAGATGGGGGCAGATGGGTGTCAGGGCTACCAGGCTGCCACAGCCTGCCCAGAGACCCTCTGCTCGACTTGCACAACACACAGCCCCAGTCACAGTTCCTGGGAACATTCTCATAGCCAAGTATTTAGAAGCATTCTTTCCCCACCTTTTCTCTTTCATTGGGTATTTCAGTTGTATGATCTGCTGTAGTCTGATGGCAGGGGTGGGGAGGTGGAGATTCAACTTTTTTTTTTAAAGATTTATTTATTTATGCATACAGAACTGCCAGAGGTGCAGGGACAGTGAGAGGATTCACCAGAGACAGAGTAGGGAGCAGAACAGGCCAACTGACAAAGTACGCTGCTGAGGGGAGTAGCGGGCGGGTCAGGAGGGGTCTGCCTCGCCATGCTGATCAGCTCCAGGGCGGGGATCGAACTCATGCTGCAGTGGCTTTAGCTTCTTAGTGCTGTGGTTTAACCCCCTGTGCCACCAGGGAGGGCCCGAGATTCAGCTTCTTAATTCTACCCTACACTGATTTTCACTGTGTTCAACCCTTAAGCCTCAGTTTCCTCACCTGCAGAATATGGCTCACACCCTCTCCCCTGTAAATCTCATCAGTGGCCTGGAAGATGGAATCCACGTGGAGAAGCATTGAAAGGTGAATCATATAAGATGGGTAGAAGGAAGGGGTGCTAAGGGTGAGGCTGCAATGACTTCCTGATAAAAACTTTTACCTGGGGAGTGAATTTATCACCAGACACCTCAAGGTACAGCTGTTCAAAGGGGTAAATTGATTAAAAGAAATGATAACATTTTCTGGCTTCGTGTAAATCTACTGTCCATTGGATCTGTGGAGGCACCAACATAAATGAACTCTCTGCTCACTTGAAATAAATTACCCATCCAAGAGTTTCTAAAAATACAGCCCCTTTCCCTCCAGGTATCGATTCTTTCAGGGACAAACACTTGCCGGTTTCTGAGATGATGACAAATCATACTGTAATCTGTCAGCTGCCTTCCTGGCCCTGATGAAGCTGTGCTTCACTCTGCTCCGTACACTTGGCTGGCTGCGGCCTTCCTGGTCCGGACTCACTTCAGTCTGAGCCCCAGTGGGTCTGGGCGCTAAGGACCTCCGCAGCGAGCTTCTGGTGTTTGTCTTGTCAGACCCAGTGGCAGCAGGTGCTCAGTGATGGGGACATTTTGCTGTCCTGTCCCTGAGTCCTGCTTGCTAGTGCCCTTCTTCCTCAAGGGCACTCCCATTCTCCTTCTTTTGGGGAAGGGGCTCTGGGGGCACTGTCTTACAGAGTCCTCTCTGCCTGGAGCGGTAGTGTCACCCTGTCTAGATACTTGTCCCCTGGGTTCCTTCTGTTTTTTTTTTTTTCCCCCAAACAGAAAAAGGGCTGTGGAGAGGGACCTGGGAACCGCTTGTCTCTCAGGACAGACCCTCCAGCCCTGTCTGCGTTGAAGGGTTTGCTGAAGCTTTCTGCAGGGTGGCAACTGGGCGAAAACCAAGAATGTGAGGGTGGAGGGAATTGCCGAGCTATACACATCTGTGTTTTAACTTTGTGCAGAGGTTTCCGATTTTATTCTGATTCATGACTTTTCCAGCAGGTGGTTGAGGTCCACCTGTCTTTTTCCTTCTGACTCACTCCCATTTATCTAAGGCACTGTCCTTCCTGAAGACATACTATTAGGTCTCGTCCTATCAGGGCCCAGGGAAAGATAAGCCCTCCCAGAGAGGACAGCTTGTGTCTCTGTAGCTCTGCGGCCAGATCCATCTCTCCCACACTCACAGGCACAAGGCAGCTGTCATTCACTTCTCTCAGGGACCTGAGAGGCTTTGACAGATGTGCCCATGGGGATGGTTGGGTCTTTGGGTTGGTAAATAATAGAGTCAGCAGTGAAATTCACATCACTGAACCCAAATCCTATTGTCATCACCATCATCATTGATGTCATCAATATATTTATTCCCCTTTCTCCTCCTTCTTAATTATAAATATTGTTGTTGTCTCAGCACTTCTTACATGCCAAGAGCCAATCAGATATTTTACATGTTACTTTCTATACAACTCTGCATGTGTATGACCACACCCCTGTTTTGCAAAGAAGGACTAAGGCTTAGGGAGAGTCAGTGATTCCCCCTGTGATATCCAGCCAGCTAAGCGGGAAGCTGGGTGGGTGTGGGGTGGGCAACAGTCTCAGGACCTCCGAAGCGACTCAGCCCATGCTGGTCAGCCATGTGTTGCTCTGGCGCACATAGCACCTGCAAACTCCTCTTGGCCCTATTTCCTTTTTGATGTTCTTTGTCCAAAACCTATGACTAAAGTACCTGATAAATTATATGTGTGCAATCTCATGTCACAAACAAACCTGCCCTCACAGATCCACAGCACATTTTGGTGGTGTGGGACATGGGCACAATGAGGGAAGGGAACCCAAGGTACACATTGCCAGTTGCAAAATAAATGGGTACATGTACAGCTTGGCAGCCATCATTCATAAGCCCGTATCACAAATGTGAGAGCTGCAAGGGAGCAGGCCCTGAAGGATTCCAGCATCACAAGAGGACAAATGACAACTCTGTGGGGTGATGAACACTGCCAGGAGCCATGGCAGGGGTCACACTACAGGCACATATTGAAGCCTTATGCTGAACACCCGAGAGGACAATCATGCTGCACAAGCAGTGCACCTCAGGAGAGAAATCTAAGGGAGCCCCAGTGCCTAGAAGTCTCCATCCTCGTCATCACTGCTCCTCACCTGGTCAAATAAAGAAGAATCAAAAACTCAATCATGTAATATCATTATGCTGATCTGTGGTTTACCTCTATCTAAGGTTTCCTTTTGTTCCTGTGTTTTTATGCTCTATGAGAATTTCTTTTTGCTCACTCTTAGCACTTTTTCTGGAATCTACATAGATATCTGGCTGGCTGGCTGGCATGTTGAGCTTTCTAGACCCGGGTATCACAGCCTTCACACTCAGCACTTGGGGCTGGAAAATCCTGCGTGCTTAACAGCATTCCTGGCTTTACCAACTTGATGCTGGAGGCATTCTCCCCTTCTACCCTCCCTTTGTGACATTAAAAATATTTACAGACATGGGAAGATGGCGGCAGGATAAAGACGCTGAGATCACTGCGTCCAGGCCTGCATAGTTTGAGGACTGAAAACGGACTATAGACTTACTTACTGCAAGTTTCAACCCAAACGAAAACACCCTGGACTCACTAGAAGGTAGATAACTATTGAGGGAATCGGCCATTGGGGAGTTCCCAGAAGGGAAGCCGCACAGGCAGGACCTGATCCGGGAACGTCAGTTGCTTCCAACTCACTAGGCTCCTTTAAAAATCTAGGCCCCAGATGCCAGGAAGCACTGCAGAGGGAAACTGCCTGAGGCGGCAGCTGCACCTGTGGGCAGCCTTTTGTCCCAGCCATGCTACAGCCCTGGAGATAAACTGAGACAATTCAGCTAGGGAGAGGAAACCAAATCCTGGGAAAAGGCTGCAGCTCAGAACCAGAGACCTGAGGATACTCAGCAGACCTGTTGCTGACCTTTGCCCCAGCAGCCCTGACAAAGCCCTGGATATAAACTGAGACAACACAGCTAGGTGAGTGGATCCCAAGCTGCTGCGGT